GTCACTCACACCCTGGTTACCTCCCGGCTGGACTACTGTAATGCTCTCTACATGGGGCTCCCCTTGAAGAGCACTCGGAGGCTCCAACTGGTCCAGAATGCGGCCGCGCGGGTAATTATGGGTGCAACTCATTGTGCCCATGTAACACCTCTCCTGCGCAAGCTCCACTGGCTCCCAGTGGTCTTCCGGGTGCGATTCAAGGTGCTGGTTACCACCTTTAAAGTGCTCCATGGCTCAGGACCTGGGTACCTACGAGACCGCCTCCTGCCACCGATAGCCTCCCACCGACCAGTTCGCTTCCACAGAGAGGGAGTCCTCAGGGTGTCGGCTGGCGACACCCAGGGGGAGAGCCTTCTCAATGGGGGCACCTGCCCTTTGGAATGAACTGCCCCCGGATATACGCAAGGTCTCTGACCTCCGAGTTTTCCGCTGTGCTCTTAAGACCCTGCTCTTCCGACAGGCAGGGCTAGCTTCATAATTGAGTTTTAATTTTGGAATTCTTAAATTTTGGGTTTTTTTAGCTAATTGGCCTTGAATGTAATACTTTTAATAATTTTTAAATTTAAATTGTGATATCTGTATTGTGTTTTTACCTGGCTGTACACTGCCCCGAGTCCTTCGGGAGAGGGGCGGTATAGAAATAAAACTATCCTATCCATCCTATCCTTGTGCTTTGGAAAATAGTTTGTCCCTCTCATCTTTGTGGTAGCCCCTCAAATATTGGAATATTGCTACCCATGATTTCCCAAAAATAAGACCCTGTCTTATATTTTTTGAACCCTGAAATAAGCGCTTGGCCTTATTTTTGGGGGGTCTTATTATTTTGGGGTGTGTGAAGCAAGATGGAGCTCCTCTTGCCATCTTACCTGATTTCCAGCTCTGCATTTAAATATTTTTGGGGAGGGCTTATTTTCAGGGGGAGGCTTATTTTAGCGCATGCACTCAAAAGTCTGATTGGGCTTATTATCATGGGATGTCTTATTTTTGGGAAAACAGGGTATCCTGGTTTTTCTTTTCACTAGAATAGGGAACTCATTTCATTAAACATTTTACAGGGAAATGGATTCCTGATCCATTGATAAAATTAAATCTTTGTCCTTTTAGAATTTGATTTTAGAATTAGAGCAATGTTTTAGCTTCCAACTTCCCAATTTGATTTCTCCACTATTTTCAAAACAGGTTAAGCATCAGTCACTTACGATGTCACTTCAAAGAACGAAAGTTGATGATCAGACATATAAAAAAAACATAATCTTTAACATAAAAAATAATCTTTGCACAAAATTGGAAGAGTAGTGACACAGCAACAGAAGATAGAGTAATTAGTAAAATCATGGAATGTGCAGAAATGGACAGACTCACAAAGGAACTACAAGATAAAGAGGGACACGATTACTATCTAGTATGGGAAAAGTGGTACACTTGGTTGGAAAATAGAAAAGGGAAAAAGACTAGGGAGTAATTGGAGTTATAGAAACAGAAACATAAATCACTAATGCAGGCTAGCAGTGAACTACAAAGATAGATATAAGAGAAAGACCAAACAAGGAGGAGTCAAAAACACAAATAAGAACATATATTACAGTTGCGATAATCTTGACAAAATGTATATTCAAATTCTTTGTTTACATGTTTTGTATGTTTTGTGGTTACTCGTTTTGTCTTGTTTGTATTTTTTAACAAATAAAAAAAATATAAACAAATAAAAAAAGGGGGAAAAAAAGAAAACATTGCCAGGTTGCCAATGGTTCAATGGCAGTTATGTCCCTTATGAATGACTGCAATCATTCTATTATTCTAGCAGGCCACAATATCAATCGTTCTGCACAGAAGGGAATAGAAAGTGAGAAAGGATCCACATAAATATTTCAAGAGCAACATGGAGGAAGGAAGTGGTCATGCTGACTCTGTGAGATTCATTTCCACAAAGTTCTCTTCCTTCTGTTTTATCTGCCAGATGTTCTCCTTGAAGGCAGACTTGGACATTTCCTCGATACACAGAGAATCATAAAATTGATCCTCCTGGTGTTCCGGATGCACGAAGCAGTTACTCTGAGCTGTCCTGCAAGTGATGCTTTCCCTGTTCCACATGAGTGGTATCAACCTGGTGACCTCGTCATCGGTGGGATGATGTCTCACTTGATTTACCATTTCTATCAAACTCTATTCAAGCAACATCCTTTTCTCAACCTTTATGATTCACCAGTGTAAATGTTTTCCTTTGAATCATCTGACCTTAGACTCACATTGCAAAGAATCATTTATATGGCTGTTTGTGTAGGAAATGTAGAGTTTTTCATGTAAATGTAAAAATCCTTTGTGTTTTGAAAGTGGTAAGAGAAGAGGGAACTTTCATTGTATTTGTTTCATTAACAACATTCAATAAATAAAGCATATTCGATTGTGTGGAAATTATCAAAAAGAGGAATGCTAAAAACAATCAGCTCTGCCACATTTCACAACCCAGAAATAAAAGTGTTTTTCCAAAAAGCAACTGGACATTATTGTTTTTTTTTCTTTGAAAATATTTCATTACTTATCCAAGAAGCTTCTTGTTCTGTCTCAGTTCTGGTTCAATTCTGGAAGCTTCTTGGATGAGAAATTAAAAATATTTTCCAAGAAAAAAAAACCTCAAGAAAGTCCAGTTGCCTTTTGGAAAAGGACTTTTGGGCCAACCATGACCAGGATGACTGAGAATCTCCATAGACTTAAATATGGGAAAATAGTTAAATCTATTGGCATTCTGTTTTATTAAATAGGTAAGGAATTATAGGATAAAGATGTTTAAATATTTCTATCTGTTGCAGCAGATAGATAGATAGATAGATAGATAGATAGATAGATAGATAGATAGATAGATAGAATTTTTTATTGGCCAAGTGTGATTGGACACACAAGGAATTTGTCTTTGGTGCATATGCTCTCAGTGTACATAAAAAGAAAAGATCCATTTGTCAAGAATCAAAAAGTACAACACTTAATGATAGTCATAGGGTAGAAATAAGCAATCAAATCATACTAGGAAACAATCAATATAAATCCTAAGTATACAGCAACAAGTTACAGTCATACAGTCATAAGTGGGAGGAGATGGGTGATAGGAGCAATGAGAAGATTAATAGTAATAGTAATGCAGACTTAGTGAATAGTTTGACAGTGTTGAGGGAATTAGTTGTTTAGCAGAGTGATGGCATTCAGGAAAAAACTGTCCTTGTGTCTAGTTGTTCTGGTGTGCAGAGCCCTATAGCGTCGTTTTGAGGGTAGGAGTTGAAAGAGTTTATGTCCAGGATGCGAGGGGTCTGTAAATACTTTCCCAGCCCTCTTTTTGACTCGTGCAGCATACAGGTCCTCCATGGAAGGCAGGCTGATAGCAATTGCTTTTTCTGAAGTTCTAATTATCCTCTGAAGTCTCTGTCTGTCTTGTTGGGTTGCAGAACCAAACCAGACAGTTATAGAGGAGCAGATGACAGACTCAATAATTCCTCTGTAGAACTGGATCAGCAGCTCCTTGGGCAGTTTGAGCTTCCTGAGTTGGCGTAGAAAGAACATTCTTTGTTGTGCTTTTTTGATGACGTTTTTGATGTTGGGTGTCCATTTTAGGTCTTGAGATATGATAGAGCCTAGAAATTTGAAGGTCTCTACTGTTGATACTGTGTTGTCTAGTATTGTAAGAGGTGGAAGTATAGTGCACACACATCATGGATATTGACTCTGGGGGAACTAAGAATTATGACCACTCATGTAATATTCCTTCAGAACTGAGCAGATTCAGATGAACAAGATCTATGGGTTTAGAGGGAAGCTCACCCTTAATCTATAATTCTTTCTAATTCAGTAACGTGCCTAGAAAACTAAATCAACAGAGAAACCAAGCCAACATTCTAGTTTAAACTGAGCACTGAATGAGCTCAGAAATTAATATAGTACGCTTAACGATGAGTAACTTTCTCGAAAAATATAAAGGAACAAAAAATGTGTGCAAAATATATTTGGACTGATTACAAAATTATTTAATACTTCAGACAGAAACAAGTTTTCCCGTAATCAGTTACAAACAATACCATACCAAAATTATTTGGAAAATTATTAAATATTATTATTATTATTATTTTGAAAAGGTGTGCTTAATCTATTTGCAGTGTAATGACCAAATTCTACCAACACATCCTTGCCTTGGCCTTTGCTGTGAAGGAGATCAATGAAGACCCCCAGATCTTACCTAACGTCACTCTTGGGTTCCACATCTATGACAGTTACCAGAATCCAAGGATGACCTATCGCACCACTCTGGACCTCCTTTTCAAATCCCAGGAATTTGTTCCTAACTACAAATGTGATAGCCAGAAGAATCTGATGGCCATCATTGGAGGATTAGGTTCTGATACATCATCTAATATAGCTGAAGTTGTAGGTTTCTACAAGATTCCACAGGTCAATATGGAGCAAAAAATTCTGTACCATGTTTTTATGGCATAATTACTGCAAGTCAGATGTTAAGATGTTCTGCCAATCTTGAGATATAATACTTAGCACTCTTTTCTGAAATTACAATACCGCTCCTAGAAGTACATATTAGGGGTGGGATCCTACTGGTTGGACAACCAGTTTGCTGAGTGCGCACTTCGTTCACTCTCACTCTCTGGTTCGCTCTTGGCACGAAGTGGGAACTACTGGTCTGAACTGGTAGAATCCCACCCCTGGTATGCATCCTGGGACATTCCATAAATAAAGAAAAAAACTGAATGTAGTACTTCCTGGTCCTGTTCAAACAATTGAACTATTATAATGTGTTTGAAATAATTCCTAGAAATTCCATTCTATCTTAATATTTCAAAAGAAATAGAGGAAAAATGCCTTCTTTAGATATTTTTTTACAGGAAAACTAGATCCAGATTTGAGCTAATGACTCAACAGAGTATTATTCTGCTTTATTTTAGCTGACATATGGCTCATTAGCCCAAGAAGAGTTTCAGACTAGCAAACGCTCTTCACTTTATTTCATGGTCCCAAAAGAGGACCATCAATACATTGGAATTATTCAACTGCTTCATCATTTCAGATGGACGTGGATTGGGATTTTTACTATGGATAACAACAATGGAGAACGTTTCTTACAGAAAATGCAGCCCATACTTTCACAAAATGGAATCTGTTCATCGTTCGTAGAAAGGCTTTCACAACTAATCCACATAGAACAGTTTGGTGAACTTTATCATCTAGTCTCAAATATTATCATTAATTTGAGGAATAGCAACACCACTGCATTTCTTGTCTACGGAGAATCACTGACAATTATGTGGCTCAGGGCTATCATGTTTGTAGCAGATCCTGAAAACAAGCAAACTGCATTATTTAGAAGGGTGTGGATCATGACTGCACAGATTGATTTTGTGCTCTCAGGCTTTCAAGTCATGTGGGATCTCCAGATGTTCCATGGGGCTATTTCCTTCACGGTTCATTCAACAGCAGTTGTAGGTTTCAAGGAGTTTCTTCAGACCATCAAACCTCATTCAGGCTGCAGAGATGGGTTTCTGCAGGACGTTTGGGAACAATCATTTGATTGTTCATTCTCAAAATCAGAATTACAAGAAATGTCCAATAGGCAGTGCCCAGTGGAAAAGAAACTGGAGGATCTTCCTGGGCCCGTGTTTGAAATGGAAATGACTGGCCACAGCTACAGTGTCTACAATGCTGTTTATGCTGTGGCTCATGCTTTGCAGGCTCTACTCATGTCGGGGTTCAATAAGAAAAAAACAATGATGGGTAAAAAAACTGACCTTCCCCCTCTGCAGCCTTGGCAGGTATTCTCTCTGCATTGGACACTTCTTTTATTTCAATGAGCAATTTGATATAGAATTACCAATTGAACCTATAGCAGAAAGTCTTCATATTTTCTGCTTATGAAATCCAGTTCGCATAGAATAGAATAGAATAGAATAGAATAGAATAGAATAGAATAGAATAGAATAGAATAGAATAGAATAGAATAGAATAGAATAGAATAGAATTCTTTATTGGCCAAATGTGATTGGACACACAAGAAATTTGTCTTAGGTGCATATGCTCTCAGGGTACATAAGGAGAATATTCATCAAGAATAAAAAGATACAACACTTAGTGATAGTCAAGGTTACTAATAAGCTATCAAATCGTACTAGGAAACAAATAAAAACAATATAATTGAAAGATGCAAGCAACATGGTTACAGTAATAAGTGGGAAGAGATAGATACTAGTAAAGAAGAGAAGAAGAATAGTAATACAGTCTTAGTAAATTATTTGACAGTGTTGTGGGAATTAGTTGTTTAGCAGAGTGATGGCATTCAGGAAAAAACTGTCCTTGTGTCTAGTTGTTCTGGTGTGCAGAGCCCTATGGCATCCTTTTGAGGGTAGGAGTTGAAACAATTTATGTCCAGGATGTGAGGGGTCTGTAGATATTTTCACAGCCCTCTTTTTGACTCATGCAGGATACAGGTCCTCCATGGAATGCAGGTTGGTAGCCATGTTTTTTTCTGAAGTTCTAATTATCCTCTGAAGTCTGTGTCTGTCTTGTTGGGCTGCAGAGCCAAGCCAGACAGTTAAGGAGGTGCAGATGACAGACTCAACAATTCCTCTGTAGAACTGAATCAGCAGTTCTTTGGGCAGTTTGAGCTTTCTGAGTTGGTGCAGAAAGAAAATCCTTTGTTGAGCTTTTTTGATGATGTGTTTGATGTTAGGTGTCCATTTTAAGTCTTGATATGATAGAACCTAGAAACTTGAAGGACGCTACTATTGATACTGTGGTGTTTAGTATTGTAAGAGGTGGTCGTATAGGAGGTTTTCTTCTAAAATCCACCACCATTTCTACGGTTTTGAGTGTATTTAGTGTATTTAGTTCCAGATTGTTCTGGTTGCACCACAAGGTTAGTTGTTCAACCTCCCGTCTGTATGCAGATTCATCATTGTCCTGAATGAGACCAATCACTGTTGTATCATCTGCAAACTTCAGTATTTTAACAGAGGGATCATTTAAGATGCAGTCATTGGTGCATAGAGAGAAGAGAAGTGGAGAGAGCACACAGCCCTGGGGGGCTCCTGTGCTAATTGTGCAGGTATTTGATGTAATTTTGCCTAGCTTCACCTGCTGCTTCCTGTCTGTTAGGAAGCTTATGATTCATTTACAACTGTGGTCAGGTTCAGCTAGCTGATTTAGTTTAGTTAGAAGAATATCTGGAACGATGGTATTGAATGCTGAGCTGAAGTCTACAAAGAGGACCCTCCAAAGACCTATGACCCTTGCATAGGTCTTTGGAGATTCAAGATGTTGTAGAATGTAGTGCAGAGACATATTAACAGCATCATCTGTCGATCTATTTGCTCGGTAGGGATCTAACAGCGGATCAGTGTTGAAACTACATTTTCATCATTGACAGTAGTCAAGAAACTACTGTCTTGTTAAGTAATAGAGTTGTAAAGGGAACCTGGCTTCCCCGTTGACTTTGCTTGTCAAAAGGTGACAAAGGTCACAAATTTGAAAAATGGACATAAATCAGTGCCATTGCAACTTCAAATAGTCACTAAACAAGTTGTTGTAAATAGAGGACTACCTATATTAGCCTTACAACTCTCTCTCTCTTTTTAAATTCTCTTTCACATAGCTCCATCCGTTTCTACATGGCATTTCTTTTAACAATTCGGCTGGAGAGAAAGTTTCCCTGAATGAAAAAGGGGAAGTAATGGGTGGATTTGATATCATTAACCTCATCACATTTCCCAATCGGTCTTTTCAAAGAGTTAGAATTGGAAGAATAGATCTGAGTTCTCCAAAAGGCAACGGATTATTGATTGATGAAGATTTGATTGTCTGGCACCCAGCTTTTAATCAGGCATGGACTCATTTAATGGACTATATCTTGAGCTATTATGATCCCAAACAGAGACCTTGGTTTCTTAAACCATATTGAGCAAAGCCTCTTTAGAAATCTAATTTCTATGTTTGTAAGAAAAAAATGGCATACTTTGAACAAATATGGCCCAGGATCAAGCATTGATCAAATTGACAAAATGATCTTACAATGTAAAAGTCTGCTTTTTCTTTTGGTTGCAATTACCTTTCAAATTATGGACGTTGCCTTATTTTTATAACATTGTCATCTCGCATATTTATTTACCCATCTTGCCTTTTTCAAAGAGGCCCTTTTCGTCATCATTGTAATTTCAACAACTTTTAATGTAGAATATAAATCCTGCTAGTTAATATTCACTTGCCCTTTGGGAAGTAAAGAATTATTTACCCCAATAAAAGAGGGTGATTAATAACTCACGAATGAAGATGACCCAAGATAATGTTGAAGAATCTACTCTGAGTTGGTCACCGGTCAACCTTTGGTCCCGGTGACTGTCCCAGATTAGATCCTGCAGGATTAATAAATGGGTTTTTTAAAAAAATCTCCCTTTGCAAGAATCTTTTATCTTTATCACCAGGTTCTTCCAATTTCTCTGTGTAATGACCATTGCTCCCCTGGATACTGGAAGAAGGAGACTGAAGGAAAACAATTCTGTTGCTATGACTGTGTTCCATGTCCAGAAGGGAAGATTTCAAATCAAAAGGGTAGGTTAGACAATCTAGGAAGTTTTCATTAGGTTGATTTAAGCAAACGAAGAGGAGCGGTGTTATATACGAGTAGATAAATAGGTGCCTAGGAAACTGGGTACCTATTTATCTACTCTGGGAAACCTTGACCTCTGATTGTTCAGTTTGGAGGCTAAAGATGCAGCATGGCCTTCTCCAATTCGAATAGACACTTGTTCAGCAGGCTGAGGCAAAAGGGCAGTCCCGGAACCAGCGAAATCTGGGGGCTGGGCAGGGGACAGAATGTATCTGCCCTCAGTGTGGAAGGGATTGCCACTCTCGAATTGGCCTTTTTAGTCACACTAGATGCTGTTTTAGGACCTCTTTCCAGAGCACGATACCATAGTCTCTTGAGACTGAAGGATGCCAATGTAACGAAATAGGTATCACTTCGGTGGGAAGACAAGCTGACACTTCATGTGGACTCATAGAATGCTGCTGGCATTGCACTTCCCATTTGCAATGCCCATTTGCGAGGCAGCTTTGGTGGTGGGAGAGAGCCCCATATGATGCTGCAGCCAAGACCACTCAACTTTCTTTCTGATGCAGAGCTAGTTCACTCCCTATGCTGCATTTTGGAAACATACAAGTGTGAACCAAATGGCTAGGAATCTTTGGCAGCCAAACTAATTGTTATATTAGCATTATAGTCTCCTGGCTAATGTAACATCACCATACACTAAATAATTAAGTGAATTTGTGAAAAGTAGAAAAATGTGGGTTAGACAGCATCACCACCAGATGGATTCATAACTGGCTGACCAACTGCATTCAACGTGTAGTCCTCAATGGAACTGCATCTACATGGAGGGAAGTATGCAGTGGAGTACCCCAGGGCTCTGTTTTAGGCCCAGTGCTCTTCAACATCTTCATCAATGACTTGGACGAGGGGATAGATGGGGAACTCATCAAATTTGCAGATGACACCAAGCTGTCAGGAATAGCCAACACTCTAGGAGATAGGCTCAAAATACAGAAGGATCTTGACAGACTTGAACATTGGGCACTATCTAACAAAATGAAATTCAACAGTGAAAAAAGTAAGGTTCTACATTTAGGGAAGAAAACAAAATGCACAGGTACCGTATATGTGGTACCTTGCTTAATAGTAGTAACTGTGAGAGGGATCTTGGAGTCCTAGTGGACAACCATTTAGATACAAGCCAGCAGTGTGCAGCAGCTGCCGAAAAAGCCAACACAGTTCTGGGCTGCATAAACAGAGGGATAGAATCAATATCATATGAAGTGTTAATACCACTTTATAAATGCCTTGGTAAGGCCACACTTGGAATATTGCATTCAGTTTTGGTTGCCACAATGTAAAAAAGATGTTGAGACTCTAGAAAGAGTGCAGAGAAGAGCAACAAAGATGATTAGGGGACTGGAGGCTAAAACACATGAAGAATGGTTGCAGGAACTGGGTATGTCTAGTTTAATGAAAAGAAGGACTAGGGGAGACATGATAGCAGTGTTCCAATATCTCAGGGGCTGCCACAAAGAAGAGGTAATCAAACTATTCTTCAAAGCACTTGAAGGTAGAACAAGAAGCAATGGGTGGAAACTAATCAAGAAGAGAAGCAACTTAGAACTAAGGAGAAATTTCCTGACAGAACAATGAATAAGTGGAAGAACTTGCCTGAAGAAGTTGTGAATGCTCCAGCACTGGAAATTTTTAAGAAGATGTTGGATAACCATTTCTCTGAAGTGGTGTAGGGTTTCCTGCCTGGGCAGGGGGTTGGACTAGAAGACCTCCAAGGTCCCTTCCAACTCTGTTATTCTATATTCTCATTTAAGCAAACTGTAATACATTACCTTAGCGTGAACATAACTAATACTTTTACGTCTTCTTCAAGATGAATATTCATTTTTATAGCTGTGACTCACATTCTGTTGTTCAGGTTTCAAACTTTGTCAATACATTATGTTACTTGAGACGTACATATATCCTCACGGTTTTCTTTTCCACATTTTGGAAAAAAATGGGAAAAGTCCAAATTGCCTACATTGTAATAAATTTTAAAATCATACAAAGGGTTGCATTTCAAAGAACAATTGTCCTTCCATTTCTGCTTGCTGTTATGCCAATCCTAAATTTTCCATTTGAGGAAAAATGGAATTTTCATAGAAACACGATCCATCTGGTAACCAGTGGAAAGAACTGAAAACGAATAACAACTGTCACCTGTTCAGAAAGTAATTTGAATAATATGTCAAATTCCTTGATTTTCCTTCTAGATATGGAAGATTGCTCTGAATGTTCAGAAGATCATTATCCAAATAAAGAAAAGAATGGATGTAACCTGAAACTGCTGGTCTTTCTAACATTTGAAGAAAACTTAGGAATTGGTTTAGTCTCAGCAGCTCTTTGTTTTTTCTTTTTGACATCTTGGGTAATTGGAACATTTATCAAGCACAGGGATACCCCCATTGTCAAAGCCAACAACCGGTCCCTCACCTACACCCTCCTGGTCTCTCTTCTCCTCTGTTTTCTCTCCTCTTTCTTCTTCCTCAGCCAACCTGGCAAGCTGACCTGCCTTCTCCGACAATCAATGTTTGGCATCACTTTCTCAGTTGCCATTTCTAGTGTACTGGCCAAAACCATCACTGTGGTTGTTGCCTTCATGGCCACTAAACCAGGATCTCAGATGAGGAAATGGGTGGGGAAAAGATTGGCCTTTTCTATTGTACTTTCATGCTCTATCATCCAAATATGTATTTGTATTGTTTGGTTGTCAACATTTCCCCCATTCCCTGAGTTGGACAAGCACTCAGTGCACCCAAAAATAATTCTACAGTGCAATGTGGGGTCAGCTTTCTTCTTCTACTGTGTCTTGGGCTACATGGGTATCTTGGCCATTGCCAGCTTTATTGGGGCTTTCCTTGCCCGTAAATTACCTGACAGCTTTAATGAAGCCAAGTTCATCACTTTCAGCATGTTGGCCTTTTGCAGTGTGTGGATCTCCTTCTTTCCAGCCTATCTGAGCACAAAAGGCAAAGCCATGGTAGCTGTGGAGGTCTTCTCCATCTTGTCCTCCAGTGCTGCATTACTGGGATGCATATTCTTGCCAAAGTGCTACATCATTGTTGTACGGCCTGACCTCAACCACAGGGAGCAACTGATAAAGAGGAATTAACACTTGGTGTAATATTTCTGGCTTTGAGAAATTGCTCACGAAAAAAAAGAAAGAAGGATTGTTTGCTGTCCATAGGAGACATATAGAAGTCCTTAATTCTGACAACAGAGGATTGATGGAGGATTATCCTGACAACTAAGATTTATTATAGTTGCCAATTGCAAAAGAAATGCTCATGCTGCTGCATTTGCAATCATTCTCCAAGATACTTTAATTAAACACCTTCTTCTTTCAACACCCAAAGATTGAAAGACATTGAAAATTCAGTTGTTTTGTTAGAAGATTAGAGATATTGAATCAAATCATGTTCAATGTTTGCATTTTACTTATTTATTTATGTAGAAAATTTATATAGCCACCTACTTGCTCACAGTGACTCTAGTCAGTTTACAACAATAAAACAAAATATAGGAATTAATTTTTAAAAAGCTAAATGTCCTTGAAGCCATTTCGCTTCTCACCTAAGAAGCTTCTTTGGTTCTGACTCTGACCAAGAATGGAAGAAGCTTCTTGGATGAGAAGTAAAATGTCTTTGAACAAAAGCAAAGAAAGTCCAGTTGCCTTTTGAAAAATCACTTTTGGGACAACCAACAACAAAAGAACCAGCACTCAGGAAATAAGTTGCAGACTATAATTTGCTGAGGTAGCAATGAAAGTTTCAGAGAAAGTTTCATGCACCCCAACACACTAGACCCCCATAAATTAATAAGATACAAAGAATTACTGGACCTCCAAGGAAGATTAAAAACACGGCAGGAACTCAGGGAACAAGGCATAGAAATAGATTGGCGGCCCTACCTACAAATACAAACTAGATACAATAAAGAAATGAGGAAGGAGGAATCGACATAAATCCCAACCGACTAGACAAATTATTAGGAACTAAGGATGGAAATTTGATTTCAAAGATATACAAATACTTATTAGAATTTGACCTAGCAGAAAATTTAGTTAAAGGACAAATGATAGCTTGGGCAAGGAACATTGGCAAAAATATACAATTAGAAGAATGGGAAAGAGTATGGGAAACCAACTATAGAATAACAAAATCCGTAGCATATAAGGAGAACCACTACAATATGTGGTACAGATGGTATCTAGCCCCTGCGAGATTGGCGAGGATGTATGCAAACCTTAATCCAACGTGTTGGAAATGCAAGCAAGCACAGGGAACCTTCTTTCATGTCTGATGGCTTTGCCCAAAAATTAAAAAATATTGGATAAAAATAAAAATTTGCATATCAGAAATAATTGCAGAGAATATTGAGCTAGAACCAGAAATTTTTTTGTTAGGAATGCTTAAACAAAACATTAGGAAGGAAAAAAAGTACCTAATATTACATATAATTACAGCAGCTGGGTTAGCTCTAGCACAAGTCTGGAAAACAGATCAATTGCCAATGGAGCAGAAAATAATTCAAGCAGAAATGGATAGACTAACATTGAAATTGAAAGATAAGGAAGACTCTCAGTATTTTAAGATATGGGACAGTTGGTATGAGTGGATAAACCAATGAAAAAGAAGATAAAGTCAAAACTTAGTAAGAAATTTAAAGTAATAATTATACACCGTCATTAAGGGGGAAAAAAGGGAAAATAAGTTCTTGTATATATGTGTACTTATATACATTATATATACCTTATTTGTTGTTTGTTGATATTGTTGATTGTATTTTAAGGTTGTGAATGTTTTATACAATTTCATGTTTTTTTTTAAATCTAATAAAGTTTGTTTTTAAAACCAAAAAAAATAAATAAAATAGAAAGTTTCAGAGAAGACATTCAAGTGTCCTCATGTGACAATATACAGGAAGATAAGGATTCCCTGAAGAACACACAACCTACTGAAACAGAGCCATGGAAATTGTGAAAGTCACACCCAGCAACCACAATTTTTCTTTTCTTTGAGTATCAGTTCAATATTTCCTACTTTTGTTCGTGGCTTTGGACTTCCCTGCTCAAAAAAAGATTGCTCCATTCACTCATAAGTGACATTTATTTTATTTTATTTATTATTATTTGTCAAACATGTAAGATAACAGATATAAGTATAAACATGATTATGAATGCAGGATAAGGATACGAATAAATGGGGACAGTAGGACAGGGATGGTAGGCATGTTGGTACGCTTATGCACGCCTCCTTAGAGACCTCTTAGGAATGGGGTGAGGTCAACAGTAGACAGTCTAAGGTTAAAGTTTTGGGGGTTTGGGGGAAGAAACTATAGAGTCAGGTAGTGCATTCCAGGCATTGACCACTCTGTTGCTGAAGTCATATTTTCTGCAATCGAGTTTGGAGCGTTTTACCTTGAGTTTGTATCTATTGTATGCTCGCATATTGTTGTGGTTGAAGCTGAAGTAGTCATTGACAGGTAGGACATTGTAGCAGATAATTTTGTGTACTACACTTAGGTCAGACCGAATGCAGCGTAGTTCTAATTTGTCTAAGCCCAAAATATCAAGCCTGGTTTTATAAGCTATTCTGTTTTGAGCAGACGAGTGGAGGACTCTTCTCATGAAATAACCTTGGACTTGATCAATTGTATTAATGTCTGATATACAGTGTGGATTCCAGGCAGATGAGCTGTATTCGAGAATTGGTCTAGCAAAGGTTTTGTGTACCCTAGTTTGCAGTACAATATTACCAGAGAAGAAGCTTCATAGGATTAGGTTAACAACTTTTAATGCCTTTTTGGCAATGTTGTTGCAGTGAGTTCTGGCACTTAGATCATTTGAGATGAGTACTCCAAGGTCCTTGATAGAATGAGCATCATCTACGAGGTCGTGTCTGCCCAGCTTGTATTTGATGTTCTGATTTTTTTTTTTTTTTGCCAATGTGTAAGACAGAGCATTTGTTGGTTGAAATTTTGAGTGGCCAATTGTTTGTCCATTCTGACACATAGTTAAAGTCTCTTTATAGAGCAGTATTGTCAGTGATGTTGAATAGTTTTAAATCGTCAGAGAAGAGAATGCAGTTGCTTATAATATGATCACAAAGGTCATTTATGTAAAGTATAAAGAGTGTGGGTCATAGAACACTACCTTGGGGGACACCGCTGTTAACAGGTGCAGGGTTTAACTACTTGTTAAAGTAGTATTTTGACTACTTGTTGCTTGTTTGACAGGAACGCAGCTATCCACTTATGTAGGGATCCGGAAATGCCATAAGATTTGAGTTTTAGAAGTAGTTTGTCATGTACCTCTGAATCAAAGGCTTTGCAGAAGTCTAAGCAAATTGTGTGTGTGTGTGTGTATCACAACAAATTGTGGCAAGTTCTTAAAGAGATGGGGGTACCAGACCATCTTATTTGTCTCTTGAGAAACCTATATGCGGATCAAGAAGCAACAGTGGGAACCGATTGGTTCAAAATTGGGAAAGGAGTCCAGCAAGGCTGTATACTGTCACCCTGCCTATTTAACTTATATGCAGAGCACATCATGAGAAAGGCAGGGCTAGATGTATCAAAAGTTGGAATTAAGATTGCCGGGAGAAATATCAACAACCTCAGATATGCAGATGATACCATTCTAATGGCAGAAAGCGAAGAGGAACTAAAGAGCCTCTTGATGCTGGTGAAGAAGGAGAGTGCAAAAGTTGGCTTGAAACTCAACATTAAGAAAACTAAGATCACGGCATCTGGCCCTCTCAATTCCTGGCAAATAGATGGGGAAGAAATGGAGGTAGTGGCAGATTTTATTTTCCTGGGCTCCAAGATCATCGCAGATGGAGACTGCAGTCAAGAAATTAAAAGACGCCTATTCCTGGGGAGGAAAGCCATGGCAAATCTAGACAGCATACTAAAAAGCAGAGACATCACCCTGCCAACAAAAGTGCGTATAGTCAAGGCCATGGTTTTCCCAGTTGCAATTTATGGCTGTGAAAGTTGGACCATAAGAAAGGCTGAGCGCCACATTGCACTTCTCTTCCTAGTTCCAATTCATTTCTACTTTTTAATATTCCCCTCTTGGTTATTATGTCTCTATACCTAATTAATTTTGTCCAGTCTACTAAATTTGGATATGTTAAAGTTTCCTCTGGGGAAATCCAAGACGGGATTTGTATATAATGCTGTTTTTTAATTTTATTCCAAATTATTAGTAAAGAATTCCTAATTGTGTGCCTTCTAAAGTATCCATAAATAGTTTGTTTTCCTCCCCATAAATATGACTGCCACCCTATAGTTAGATCATGTCCTTCTAATGTTAGCAGCCTTTTATTTTCCAATTCCATCCATTCCTTTATCCAAACTAATCCTGCTGCTTGATAGTAGTTCTCCCAATCTGGGAGGGCGGCTCCTCCTCTCTCTCCGGTATCTTGTAATACTTTTAACCTAATTCTAGGCTTCTTTTCTTGCCAAATAAATTTTGTAGTTAATCTATTTAATAAGTCGAAAAAAATTTCCCCATTTTTATTGAAATAGTCTGGAAGAGGAATAAAATTTTGGGCAAGATATTCATTTTTATTACTGCCACTCTTCCCATCCATGAAATCTGCAACTTTGTCCAGTTTTCCAAATCTTTCCTAATTTAGTGGACATATCTGCAGATAAATTCAAAGTACATGGAGGATATAAAAAAAGATCAAGTTCGACTAGAAGAAACAGAATTAGATAAAATCATACTAGGGAATGATAGAAAACTAATAAGTAGAATATACAAGTTTCTAATTCGGTATAAAATGGAAGAGGAAACGGTGAAAGACACGATGATCAAATGGGCACAAAACTTTAACCATGTGATAGAACTAGAGAAGTGGGAGAGGATGTGGAAAACAAACATGAAACTAACAATTGCGACAGCATACAAGGAAAACCAGATGAAAATGTTTTATAGATGGCACCTTCCACCGGCCAGAATTGCAAAAATGTTCCCTACCAACTCCCCGAAATGTTGGAAGTGCAAGACTGGCTACGGAACATACTATCCCCAATGGTGGACCTGTACGATGGCACAATAATTCTGGAAGAAAATCAAAACTTGGATAGTAGAAATAATTCAGAACCCAACAGAGGGAAAACCGGAACAATTTCTGTTAGGAATCTCAATAGAAAATTATACTAAAGAAATACAGTACCTTATATTGCATATATTGACTGCAGCACGTATTGTATACGCACAATATTGGAAGAAGGAAACACTACAAACGGAAGAGGATTTAATTAAAAAAATTCTAGAATGTGCAGAATTAGATAAATTAACTAAAGAAATTAAGGGGAAAGAAGAATCAAAGTATTATAAGGTTTGGAGTAGATGGTATGAATGGTTGAAACATAAGGAAATAAGTTAAATGAATGAAGAAAGGAGGGGGGAAATGTGTATGATCTTTTGTTAGTAAAGAAGAAATGATATAAAGTAGAAAATGAACATCAAATAAGTATATACTTAAATATTTGTAAATATTGATGTATAGAAAGAGCAGACCGCTGTGTATAGCTGAAAGAAAAGTGATATTTTTCTTTTTTGTGTTACTTTTTGTTGCATGTATATGTTTGATTTTTAATGTGTTTTTAATGTGTTTAAAATAAAAAACTTTTTTTAAGAAAAGTAAAAAAAGAAGAAAAAAAGAAAAAAAAGAAAGAAAGGTTGAGTACCAAAGAATTGAGGCCTTTGAACTCTGGTGCTAGAGAAGACTCCTGAGAGTCCCTTGGACTGCAAGGCAATCAAACGGGTCAGTCCTAGAGGAGATCAACCCTGACTGCTCTTTAGAACACCAGGCCCGAAGATGAAACTGAAATACTTTGGCCACCTAATGAGAAGGAAGGACTCACTCGATAAGACCCTAATGCTGGGAAAAAGAAGAAAGGGACGGCAGAGAATGAAGTGGCTGGATGGAGTCACTGAAGCAGTAGGCATGAGCTTAAATGGACTCTAGAGGATGGTAGAGGACAGGAAGGCCTGGAGGAACATTGTCCATGGGGTCGCAATGGGTCGCACATGACTTCGCAACTAAGAACAACAACAATGTAAATTGCCTCTATTGCTTTACCCTGGTCGAGTTGTGTAGTCCATATGTTTTTGCAGTGTAAGAGTTGCAGATTGCAGGACAATTTTTTTTCTGAAACCAACTGCTTGTTAGAGAGTAGGTTATTTGTCTCTAAGTGGAGGGTAATGGATTAGGTTATTCCCATGAACTCTACTCTGAACTCAAAAGACGTCAAGACCAAGACGTCTTTTGATGTCTTTTGATGCCTTGCTGGCGCAGCAGACTAAAGTGCTGTTAAGTAACACCAGCTGCCTGCAATTACTGCTGAGCACATTGTAAGCCACCCTGAGTCTCCAGAGAAGGGCGGCATATAAATCAAATTTAAAAAAAAATTACTGCAAGTTCAAATCTCACCAGGCTCAAGGTTGACTCAGCCTTCCATCCTTTCAAGGTAGGTAAAATGAGGACCCGGTTTGTGGGGGCAATAAGCTGACTTTGTATAAAAAAGAACACCGCTGGGGGGGGACAAAAGCCCTACTTAGCAGGTATATACAAAAGTATGAAGGCTATTGCTTAACGCATTGTAAGCTGCCCTGAGTCTCCGGAGAAGGGCGGCATATAAATCGAACCAATAAATAAATAAGACCAAGGAGAGACTGACTTATACAATGACAACCGTGCTGACTGTATCAAAAGTAAGACCAACGGCCCACGGCCCAACAACCCCCCCCCCAACAACCAATAATAGGTATGCACACCCCTACCTTCCTCAAGATCCACCACTACAGACCTTAAATGCAAGCTACTTAATGCAAGAAATTGGTAAGATGTTTTTCAAGGCAAGAAATATTACATGATGTACTAGTTTCTTTTTATGAGTTGTTCCCTGTGATTTACGTCAGGCCTGGAAACAATGATGTAACATTTAGGCAAAAATATGCATCCCAGTAACGCAGCACTGGAGGCCAAGATGGAGAAGACCTCCACATCTACCATGGCTTTGCCTTTTGTGCTCAGATAGGCTGGAAAGAAGGAGACCCAAACACTGCAAACGGCCAACATGCTGAAAGTGATGAACTTGGGTTCATTAAAGCTGTCAGGTAATTTATGGACAAGAAAAGCCACAATTAAGCTGGCGATGGCCATGCAGCCCAAGACACAGTAGAAAAAGAAATCTGACCCCTCATTGCATTGCAAAATAATTTCTTGGAGCTCTGAGTCCATGTCCAACTCAGGGAATGGGGAAAATGTTGAAACCCCCCCCTCCCATGCGCTCCTCTTTCCCACCCTGTCTATGATCCTGGCATTTGCCCCAAATCCATCAGGCGCTTTCCCATTGCTCCACTGGATGGCGAACATCACAGTTGCCTTTCCAGAAGCTGCAAAGGAATTGACATCACAAACAATTGCCGCTCTCGGATGCCGCTCTCACTCTCCTTAACGGCCCAGGCATTTCACAGTTATGCTGCAACACACACACACACACACACACACACACACACACACAGGGTGTTTTAACACACACAGTATTTGTTTCCATATAGTAAGTCATTTGTGTACCAAGTCTGGTTGAAATTGCTCAAGGCGTCCCAGAGTTATGATGGAGCATACATACATACATACATACATACAGCCTTTTTTATATAGATAGATCAGTTTAGCTTAGCATAAAACAGAATATGAATAGATGTAGCAAATATCACTCATTTACTGTATGCATGTTTTATGAGGAGAGATAAAGCAGTCTTTTTCTGACAGTCAGAATGGAAGAAGCTCCTTGGATGAGAAGTGAATGTTTCTATTCATGATTAATGTCAGTATTATTTTTAATTCATTGTATGTCTATTGCTGGTTGAGAACCGTAATAAAATTTTATTCATTCAACTGCTTAAAGAGCAATTTAGTTTTCAACCTTGAGCCCTTGATGCTCTCTGAAATAGGTTATTTGTTTGCAGACTTTTTGTTACCTATCTAGGTGATAACATCATTGAAAACTTTTGAAAACCATTTGTTTTCCATGGTTTCCATAGGCACAGCATATGTCATGAATGACAAGAGTTTTGCACCATCTTATCAATGGTTTCAAATTTGTTGTTATGAGTAGATGTAGAAGAGGGGGAAGGGATACGACAATCTACAACACAGTCCTTTCAACAGTTCCAAAAAGGCTCCACATCCATTTGCATCACTCAGGTGACCCTGATGACACAGATAAACCTCCAGGTGACTTTAACGACCCACTAAAAGAATGCAAATGACCAGTTTTCTGCAAGGAGTATAAATCCTTCCATTCCCCACCATCCAGTCAGAGCTGAAGAAGCTTCTTGGAGGAGAAGCAAAACGTTTTCAAAGAAAACCAGAAAGTCCAGTTGCCTCTTGAAAAAAGCACCTTTGGGATGTCCATTATCTGCTGTGTACAATGTCTCAAGTTTCTTTTTCTTCCTTTCTATTTCCTTTACTAAAGGAAAATATAGGTAGTCCTTGACTTGCAACCATTTCTTTAGTGACCATTCAAAATTACAACAACACTGAAAAAAAATGACCTACAACAACTGATCCCTGCATTTACAACCATGGTGGCATTCCCACAGTCATGTGATCGAACTTTAGTTGCTTGGCAACTGACATGTACTTGTAACAGTTGCAGCATCCCAGAGCATTCCATTTCACCAGTTGTGACTGTAGAAAGAATCACAAGACACCCCCTTCTCTTTGTTTCCATGCCCCTAGAGAAGGCAAAGAAAAACCAACCATAGAAGGTAAAGCAATCCCTGCCTTCCAGCCAGAGTGGCCTCAAGTAATCCCAATTATAAGACTGAGACAGACGGAATTGACAGGATTAAGGATTATGTCAGACAACACAAAGCCACCAAGAATTTATATTCCCCACCTTTCCCCAAGGCTAGCCTTGACCAGTGGTGAAATCCAATTTTTTTTACTCCCGGTTCTAGGGGCGTGTCTTGGTGGGAGTGGTGTGGCTTGGTGGGCATGGCTTGGTGGGTGTGGCAAGGGAAGGATACAGCAAAATCTCCATTCCCACCCCACTCTGGGTCCAGCCAGAGGTGGTATTTGACAGTTCTCCAAACTACTCAAAATTTCTGCTACCGGTTCTCTGAACTGCTCAAAATTTCCGCTACCGGTTCTCCAGAACCTGCTGGTTTTCACCCCTGACCTTGACCCTGATCACCATCCAGGAAACGAGACTTGCAAGCATTGAGTACAGTTCAATGTATTTGATATCATCGCCTACGCTTCCCTCCCTCTTTTTCAATATATATTTTGATATGGTCAAAAATTGATCTAAGAACCCCCTATTGTAAAAGGAATGTATTTATTGACTTCTTTGGAAAATGGTTGTAAATGCAATAGCATGAGAACTCCTTTTGGAATGGCAAACAAAATAAATCTTAATAACAATAATAATCCTCCATAAATCTTCCTTTCACAGAAATTAAAACTATATGTTTACAGGAGATAGCAGACAGTCTTTCAATTGTCAGCAAATTTCTTTTTTTAAAAAAAATTATAAACTTTATTAAAACACATATAAAACACATATAAAAAACATTTACAAAACATACAGCATATAAGTAAATTTTCCTCTTAAAGCAATATTGTGTAGTGGTTCTTCAATTAATACAGTTGTAATTTTCCCCTTATTTTAAGCCTAGTAGTTTTTTCTTTCCCTTTTCCTCCCCCTCCTTTTTCCCTTCCCCTTCTTCCAAATCTTTATATTTGGATTATATTTTTGTTTTGAAATTCCCCTATTCATGTTTACTTGTCCATAGGAAATTATTAGTATACCTATTTACATCTTTATTCTATTCTTCTTGCACCTATGTATCTTTATTAGTGGCGTTGTACCATAGGTACCATTTGTCCCATATTCTGTAGTACTCTGTCTCTTCTTTTTCCTTCATCTCTTTTGTTAGTCTATCCATTTCAGCACTCTGTGCGATTTTATCTGTTAACTCTTCTTCCGTTGGGATTTTTTCTTGTTTCCAATTCCTTGCGTACATTATTCGAGCTGCCGTTAGAATATGTATTATTAGGTATTTTATATCTTTAGGATATATTTTTGTGAAGATTCCTAGAAGAAAAGTTTCTGGTTTCATCTCTATTTGTAATTTTGTTATTTGTTCCAACCATTTCTTAATGTTAGACCAAAACTTCTTTGCTGCCGGGCACGTCCACCATAGATGGTAAAAGGTACCCTGCGATTTTTTGCATTTCCAGCATAATGAACTGTTCTTTGAATGAATTTTTGCCAATCTTGTGGGTGACATATGCCACCTATAAAACATCTTCAGCTGGTTCTCCTTGTATGCCACCGCTAATGTTAATTTTGTATTCATTTGCCATAATTCCTCCCACTTCTCCAAATTTATTGTATATTTAAAATTTTGCATCCATTTAATCATTGTATCCTTTACTGTTTCCTCCTCCATCTTATACCGCAATAGAACATTATAGATTTTACTAATTAATTTCTCTTGTGAGTCTAATATAATTTTATCTAGTTCTTGTTTCTCTCTGTAGATTTCATATGTTTTTATATGTTCCTTGTATTTGGATTGGATCTGTGTAAAAGTCCACCAGTCGACTTCTCTATTTAGTTCTATTTCCAATTGTTATTTGGTTTTCAGCTTCCCTTGAAGTCAATTAAGTCTTTGTATCTAATTATATTTTTGGGTTCTGTTAAGTTTGGGTGTCTTACCGCTTCTAATGGTGATAGGCAATTCGGAATTTTTGTGTAGTGTTGTTTTTGAATTTTTAGCCAAATTAGTAGTAGTGTATTCCTAATTGTGTGTCTTTTAAAATAGGTATGTGTTTTATATCTTTCATCCCATAAAAAGGAGTGCCAGCCCATTTGCAGTTCGTGGCCTTCAATTGTTAATATCCTAATTGTCAGCAAATTTTCATAGTGAGAAAACTCACATGATGTACTAAGTCCTCTTTATTAGTTGCTCTCTCTGGTTTAGTTCAGGCTTAAAAACAATGATGTAGCATTTTGGCAAAAATATGCATCCCAGTAATGCAGCGCTGGAGGCCAAGATGGAGAAGACCTCCACAGCTACCATGGCTTTGCCTTTTGTGCTCAGATAGGCTGGAAAGAAGGAGATCCACACACTGCAAAAGGCCAACATGCTGAAGGTGATGAACTTGGCTTCATTAAAGCTGTCGGGTAATTTACGGGCAAGAAAAGCCACAATAAAGCTGCTGATGGCCAAGACACCCATGTAGCCCAAGACACAGTAGAAGAAGAAAGCTGACCCCTCGTTGCATTGTAAAATCATTTCTTGGAGCTCTGAGTACATGTCCAATTCAGGGAATGGGGGAGATATTGACAACCAAAGAATACAAATCCATCCTTGAATGATGGAGCATGAAAGGACAATAGAAAAAGCCAATCTTTTCCCCACCCATTTCCTCATCTGAGATCCTGGTTTAGTGGCCATGAAAGCCACAACCACAGTAATGGTTTTGGCCAGGACACTAGAATTGGCCACTGAGAAAGTGAGGCCAAAAGCTGATTGTCGGAGAAGGCAGGTCACTTTGCCAGGCTGGCTGAGGAAGAGCAAGGAGGAGAGAAAACAGAGCAGAAGAGAGACAAGGAGGGTGTAGGTGAGGGACCGATTGTTGGCTTTGACAATGGGAGTATCCTGGTGCTTAATAAAAGTTCCAAGTACCCAAGAGGTCAAGAAGAAGAAAGAAAGAGCAGCTGAGGCTAAACCAGTTCCTAAGGTTTCTTCAAATGATAGAAAGACCACCAGTTTCAGAATACATTCTTTCTGTTCTTTATCCGGGTAGTGGTCTTTTGAACATTCAAAACAGTCGTCCATATCTGGAACAAAAAGTCAAGGCATTTGTCATCTCTCCATTGAATATTGTTGAAAATTCTTTTCCTAGTGGATGCTCACTGCTATTGCTTATCAGTTCTTTCCACCGGTTACTAGTCTGATCGTGATTCTGTGAAAATGCAGGTTTTCCTCTTTTTAGGATTCACATGTAATAAAGTATATGTGAGGGAAAAGGCAATTATTCTTTGAAATCAATACTGAAAAAAGTATGTTGGGTCCAACAAGCAAAAATAATCTCCTATGCTTGCTTTCAAGATAATGAAGGTATATTAATCCTTTCCTTTGTTATAGAAATAGAATGACAGAGTTGGAAGGGACCTTGGAGGTCTTCTAGTCCAACCCCCTGCTTAGGCAGGAAACCCTACACCACTTCAGACTAATGGTTATCCAACATCTTCTTAAAAACCTGGGTGTGTTGCAGCATTCACAACTTCTGGAGGCAAATTGTTCCTTAGCCACAAGGTTGTTTTTTGAGTTTACACTATCATTTTTAAAAACTGTCATGGTTTATTTCAACTTTAACTAGAAGTATAAATTTAACTTGAATCTCCTTATTAACATTCCTTTTTTTAAAAAAAGAAGAGGCTGGTGGTCTTCAAATTATACTTTAATCTAGGCTAAGAAGAAAAAAAAGATAATTAAAAATTGAGTTAAATCATCGCTTAATTGACTCAAATGATATATTCATTTAGGTTTTTCTGGTAAGAAAAAAGTACTTTGTGCTTTTCTTTTCCCAGCAGACTTTTTCTTTAATTCCTAAATATTTATATATTTAATTCCTAAATATTTATTGCTTCACAGAACTTACAGTGATTAGGTTAACATCACAATTTATGAAGATGACATCTTCAAGATAGAAGACACCAAGAAGCATATAATAATAATAATAATAATAATAATAATAATAATAATAATAATAATAATAATAATAATAATAATAATAATTTTATTTCTATACCGCCCTTCTCCCGAAGGACTCAGGGCGGTGTACAGCCTATTTAAAAACACAAAAAACACGACAACAATTTAAAATTTAAAATCATTAAATCATTAGGCTCCAATTAAAATCCCAGAAATTTAAAATACCCCAATTTAAAACGTTATGTTAGTAACCCTGCCTGGCGGAATAAGCATAAATAAGCATAATATATCCCGAGTTTATAAAAATCATGATAGATTTGAATGATCTTATGGGGGACGGGGTGTCCTTGGTGCTCTCTGAGCTTGCTTTAATAAGAGACTGTAGTCTACAGTATAGAAAGAAACATTCACCCCGAAGAACTCATAAAACTACTAATTCTACATATCCTAAAGTAATTAATTACTGTACTTTTCGGAGTATAAGATGCTCCTCCCCCCAAAGTGGGTGAAAATTTGGGTGCATCTTATACACTGAATATAGCCCCCTACCCGCCAGCCCCCACCCTTTATCCATTTTCGGCCTCTGTACGTTACATTTTTGGCCTTCGCACGCTGTTTTAGACCTGTTCCAGGCTGCAGGGATTACTACAGCACATCGCTGCTTCTGTGCCTCGTGTTTTTGGCCTCTGCATGTTGCATTTTTGGCCTCTGCGTGTCGCATTCTCGGCCTTCAAATGCTCCATTTTAGTCCCATTCCAGGCTGCAGAGATCACCACAGCACATTGCCACCAATCGCCGCCTCCATGCATCGCATTTTTAGCCTCCACACGTCATGTTTTAGGCCTCTGCATGCCCCATTTTTTGCCTCCGCGCATTGTGTTTTCGGGTGGTTCCAGGCGGCGGGGATCTGCAAATCATGCTGCGATAATGTGCTGAAGCTGACAAGGCTGTTTGCTATTTGCTGCAAGGATCTTAGCCAGATGAATTCTGATGGATGTTGGTAGGCAGAGGCAGAATTTTTTCCCATTGTTTTCCTCCCCAGAAACTAATGTGCATATTATGCTCTGGAGCATCGTATACTCCGAAAAATACGGTACATTTTGCTTAAGTCAATCTAATGAAAACTTGATGGATTGTCTCACCTACCCTTTTGATTTGAAATCTTTCCTTCTGGGCATGAAACACAGTCATAGCAGCAGAATTGTTTTCCTTCTATCCCTTTCTTCCAGTATCCAGGGGAGCAATGGTCATTACACAGAGAAATTGGAAGTACCTGGTCATAAACATGCAAGGTTTTTCAAACAAAGATTTTTTTTAAAAAAAAACAGATTGTAATTATTCTCTTTTATGGCGGGAAATAATTTTCATGGCCTGTTTGGAGAATGGCAGGGTGAGGAAATAAATGTGCACCATGACAATCTTATGGAAACAGCATGACTTCTGTGATTTCATGTGGAAATGGAAACCCAAATCTGAAAGCTTCCAGGTTTTCTCCACCCAACGGAAAGTTCAAGTCCCTGCCCAACACCCACAAGTCCATCACATGATCCAATCAAACCACCGTCCCAACTGGAGATGCCTCCCAGTTCCATCCCTCCAGGTGCAGGACAGGTTGTCCTTGACTTCCTGAGAAAGGAATGTTATTATGATTATATATCACCCATGCTCCATACATTCCCCTCTCCCAGTTTCCCACAGCAGTAAACGTGGCAGGTCTGAAGGCCCAATACAAAAGATGGCGTCCAGGCCTGCCACTATGTTCAATACAGACGAAGAGATCTTCGTGGTATCATAATGGATCACATTAAATGGCCATTAAACGTGTCCACACCTGGTTAAAAGCTGGGTGCCAGATAATCTCATCTCCACTGATAAACAATTCTTTCCCTTTTGGAGCACTGGGATCTAAGACTCCAACGGTAACTTTCTGAAAGGATCTGTTTGGAAAAGTGATCAAGTTGGTGATGTCGAATCCACCTGCTGCTTCTCTTTTCTCATTCAGGCACACTCTCTCCCCAGCTGAATTGTTAAATGAAATGCCTTGAAGAAATGGATGGAGCTACTTGAAAGAGAATAGAAGAGAGAGGGAATTGAAAGGCTAATAAATGGAGAACAAGCCATCGTATTCACATTACTTTCAGTCATCCTTTCCCTTTCTGTAATAATGCTCAAATAAGTACATTGAGAAAATTCATAATCTGTATTGGATGCATGGAAATGTATAGGTTTACTCTATTATTAATCTGAGGAAAAATAGGAAATAGTGTCAATCAATAAAAGCAAAATGAAAACAGGCTATTTTGTATATGATTTCTCTTAATCAAACCTTCACCATACATAATCTTATCCACCACTTTTTTTTCTTCATTGGTACAGAGCTATTTGAGAGCCTGGGACCTGACAAATTTCATTAACCCAGATTTTAGAATTTGAGATTTATTCTATTCTACATATTCTATTCTATTCTATTCTATTCTATTCTATTCTATTCTATTCTATTCTATTCTATTCTATTCTATTCCATTCCATTCCACTCCACTCCACTCCACTCCACTCCACTCCACTCCACTCCACTCCATTCCACTCCATTAGTCTATTCTGTTCTGTTCTGTTCATTCTGTTCTGTTCTGTTCTGTTCTGTTCTTTTGTGTTCTATTCTATTCTATTCTATTCTATTCTATTCTATTCTATTCTATTCTATTCTATTCTATTCTATTTATTATTATTATTATTATTATTATTTTTACCATTTTATATTTTAAATTACTAACATTACAAACAACATATACAATATTTCACCCTGTGCTATACATAAGAAAGGAAGATTTGGTTCTTCGGATATATCCTCATGATCGCCAAAATCCACGTTCTCGGGGTACAGGTACCGAAGCATCCAATTTTCCCAGCGCATAGTCCACAAATGGTTTCCAAATTTTCCAGAAAATATCTTCTTTATAGTCACCATTTCTAATTTTAATATCACATGTCATTTTATCATTTAAAGCTAATTTCCACATTTCACAATACCATTCTTCTATTCTAAAAGTCACATCTAATTTCCAATATCTGGCTATTATAATTCTACCCATTATAATCATAATTCTAATCAATTCTTTCTCATATTTTGTTGGTTCTATTTCCTTAATTATCAACAGTAATATAGTTTCTGGTCTCAATATTATTGCTTTCCCCATCATTTCAAATATCATTTCCTCCAATTGTTGCCAAAACTTTTTAACTTTATCACATTTGTACCACATATGTTCATAAGTCCCTAATTCCATATTACATCTCCAACATTGTTTACTAATTTTTTTATCCATCAATGACAATTTTAATGGAGTCAAATACCATTTCCAAACAACCTTATAATTATGCTCTTTAATCCTTACAGATAAAGTCTTCATAATTCTACTCTTCCAATTCACGTTCCAATCTAAATCTGATATTTTAATATTAAGTTCTTTTTCCCAATTCATCTTCATCACCCTTTGTGGTTTTCCATCAAAATTTATAATCTTATATATCTTACTAACGAGTCCCTTTAGCCCAATTTCATCTTTCATAATTTGGAATACTAAATATTCAAATTCAGTTTTACTTCTACTTATCGAACAATTGTCCCTTACCTTCTTAGTCCATTTTTCTATCTGTATTTTTTCAAACCAGACTAAACCCAATTTTTCAATGATTTCTTTTTTCCTCCTTTCATTTTCTGAAGTTTTTAACCAATCTATTATAGTTTGTATATTTTCATCTTCCATTACCCTATCACGACTTATATTAGTTTTAATTGGCCAATTTTCAATTGTCTTCCCTAAGAAAATTATATCTGGAATTAAAATTTTAACAAATTTGTTCCAAATTTTACTCAGTCCCTTTAACCAATAGCTATTAATTACACATTTTGATTTTGCTTTATCTAAAAACCATGTTGAGCCAAATCTCTTGATGTCCTTTAATTCTAAATCTCTCCAATGACTATCTTCATCTTTAAATATTTTTACCACAGTCCGAATAGCATAAGCCCAATAATAATTGAGTAGTTTGGGGATTCCTAATCCACCTTCCTTTTGATTTTGATACCACATTTTCTTCACTAATCTAGGTCTTTTCCCACCATTACAAAATTTATCCAATTTCTTCTGATATCCTTCAATATCTTTCTCTGTCAAGTTTAACGGTAACATCTCAAATAAAAAATTAAACTTTGGCAACAACATCATTTTACACATTGCAATTCTACCAAACCAAGACAACTTTATCATTTTATATTTATCTATCTTTTTCTCAATTTCATTCATCACCACATCATAATTTAAGTGGAGCTATACATCTCCACCCCGGACCACCCCAATGATGCCCTTAAAGTGATGTCCCAGTGCCTGGAGGCTGTACGGATCTGGATGGGGAGGAACAGACTCAGGCTCAACCCATCCAAGACCGAGTGGCTGTGGTTTCCGACGTCCCGATATAGTCAATTGGTGCCATCACTGACTATTGGGGATGAGTCATTGCCCCCCACGGAGAGGGTTCGCAACTTAGGCGTCCTCTTGGACTCATGGCTGTCTTTAGAAGAACACTTGATGGCTGTGGCCGGGAGGTCTTTTTATCAGGTTCGCCTGATTCACCAGTTCACCTTTCTGGATCGGGGCTCGTTAAAAATGGTCACTCATGCCCTCGTCACTTCATGCCTGGACTACTGTAATGCTCTCTACATGGGGCTCCCCTTGAGGAGCACCCGGAGGCTCCAGCTGGTCCAGAATGCGGCTGCGCGGGTAGTTATGGGAGCAGCATGGTGCTCCCATGTGGCTCCCCTCCTGCGCGAGCTGCACTGGCTCCCTGTGGTCTTCCGGGTGCGCTTCAAGGTCTTAGTTACCACCTTTAGAGCGCTCCATGGCTTAGGACCGGGGTACTTACGAGACCGCCTTCTGCCACCAATAGCCTCTCACCGCCCAGTACGCTCCCATAGAGAGGGGCTTCTCAGGGTGCCGTCAGCCAAACAATGTCGACTGGCGGCCCCCAGGGGGAGAGCCTTTTCTGTGAGGGCACCCACCATCTGGAACGAGCTCCCCCCAGAGATACAGAAGATTCCGGATCTGCGCACTTTCCGCCGTGCCCTCAAAACATTCCTGTTTCAGCAGGCCGGCCTGGCCTAACTTTCCCTTTATATTGCTTTTTGATTTTATTTTAAACTGGGATGTCTTGAATTATCTAGGACCAGAATGTTTAGTATATTTTAATTGGTTTTTTATTATTAACGTTTGTATTACATATATTTTTATCGTTCGCTGTTCACCGCCCTGAGTCCCTTAGGAATAGGGTGGTATATAAATTTAATAAATAAATAAATAAATAAATAAATAAATAAATAAATAAATAAATAAATAATTTAATTTTTTCATTTCTTTAACTTTGAGTGAAAGTGTTATGCCCAAATATTTCAATGTTTTTTTAATCCTTATCCCAAGTTGTTCTTGCATATTCTCCCACTCCTTACCATTATTATTCATTAATAATTCAGATTTTGACCAATTTTATTTTCAAACCTGTCATTTCCTCAAATTCTTCCAAATGCTTATGTATCTTTTTCAAATCTTTCTCTATATCTTTCAAAATAATCAAAGTATCATCCGCATACAGATTTATCTTATATCCCTTATACCCTTCCAATTCTTCATCTTTTTCTATCATTTTAGTCAAAATTTCCATAACTAATAAAAATAATGTTGGAGACAGGGGACATCCTTGTCTTGTACCCGCTTCCAATTTTATCTCTTCTGTCAGCCTTCCATTCACCTTCATTCTTGCACTACTTTTTTGATACAGTTTTGAAATAACATGTATAAACTTATTACCAAAACCTAGTACCTCAACAATTGTTTTAATAGTTTCCCATTGTACAGAGTCAAAAGCTTTAAAATATCTAATGATATTATACCTATTTTATCAGCATTATATTCAGCAACATCTATAATATTTAATACTCTTCTGACAATATCACTCATGTATCTACCCTTCACAAAACCTACTTGGTTATAACTTATATATCTATCTATAAATCTACTTAATCTATTACTTATAATGGCAGTAAATATCTTTGCATCTTGATTAATTAAAGAGATGGGCCGATAGGACTCAATCCTTTCTAAGTCTTTATCTGGTTTAGGGATTATAGATACCACCGTTCTGTTCCATGACAACGGAACTTCTCCACCATGTAAAATTCCGATAAATAGTTTTTGCAATTTTGGTATTATTATTTCCTTAAATTCTTTATAAAACTCAGCAGGTAATCCATCTTCACCTGGAGCTTTCCCTAATTTTATTTTTTGTATTACTCCATTAATCTCGTCTTGTGTTATATCTTCTTCCATTAAATCTTTATATGTTTGGTCAATTTTCACAACATGTTTTTCTAAATAGCTTCTCAGTTTTCCCCGATCAATTAATTTTTTCGAATATAAATTTTGAAAAAAGTTCCTGACCACTTCACATTTTTCTAATTTTTTATAGCGTCTTATACCCTTATCATCTATCAAGGTTCCAATTTCTCTCTTCTCTCTTTTATTTTTCACCATCCTTGCCAATAACTTAGAGTTTTTATTGCTAAATTCAAAAAAATTCCTATTTAAATATCTCATATTCTTTTTTACCAATTCTATATCTTCTTCTATCAATTTATTTTTTAGCAAATTTAATTCCTCCAAATTTTTTTTTCTTTAGTAAGCAAAAATTGATTTTCCAATTCTTTAATCTGGCTTTTATCTTTTTCAATTTTATTTTTATAATTTTTATATTTTCTGCTTGATAACTTCTATTCTATTCTATTCTATTCTATTCGATTCGATTCGATTCAATTCAATTCTGTGAGGAGGGAGAGAGAGAGAGAGAACACATTCATATTCTCAACATTGAAAACATTTATGAGCCAAGTAAAAGTATCTTGGACAATTTTTTATTTATGGAAAAGAGAATGAAAAATATTGTTAAACGATTGTATGAAGCAGTGCTTCCTTTGATCATCTTTTATGATGCAAATTATGATGATTTTCTACATAAATCTCACTTATGCCTAACATCTGGCAATCTGCAGATGTGGAACATTGGGGGTTTCCTTATCGATAATTGTTTTTTTAATAATACAAAAATTCCATTGACTAGACTGAAATTTGCAAAGACCGGATTTTTTTCAATGCTTTTGTTCTATAACATATAATCAGCTGTTATGTTAATAACTTTGTTTTCTTAGTATCTGTCTTGATCTGTGGCCATGGCAAACAAACCATATTAGATTATGAGAAGAAAGGCTATTCACTGGGAAAGAAAAGATAGGTGTGGCATAGAGACATTACCTGCCATGGGTGCAGATTTGAAAATGCAAACATTTTAATTCTTCTGTGTTGGGCTCTTGATCTCACAGCCTCATGCAGAGAATGTGCCACTACATAAACAGCATTGTAGATGCTGTAGCTTTGGCCAGTCATCTGCAACTCAAACAGAGGAGAAGGCAGATTTTCCAAATTCTCTTCTCCACTACATGTTGGATTGGACATTGAGGTTGATTCTTCATCTGAAAGTGAGCAGTCAAACAATTGTTCCCAAATTTCTTGAAGAAATCCATCTTTGTGGGTTGAAGGTGTGATGTCTTGAAGAAATTCTTTGAATCCAGTAGTTTCTCGCGAATGCACTGTAAAGGAAAGAGACCCATGGAACAACTGGACATCCCAAGACCTTTGAATTCCTGTCAGTATGAAATCAATTGGGAACATCAGGATCCAAACCTTTCTAAAAGATGCACTCTCTTTTTTCTCTTGATCATAGAAAAACACAACACTTCTGAGCCACAGAATCGTGAATGATTCACCATAGACAAGAAATACATTAGCCTTCTGATTTACAAGTTTCTCAGAAATAATTGAGATGACATCAAAAAATTCTGAACTTTCTTCTAATTGGAATCGTTGTGGAAATTTTTGTGTGAAAGCTAAGCAGATCCTATTTTGAAAAAGCAATGGGTGCAGTTTCTGCAAGAAATGTTCTCCCCTATTGTTATCTAAAGTGAAGACTCCAATCCACATCCATCCAAAATGGAGAAGAAGCTGTATAGCTCCATTGTATTGATGCTCCTCTTTTGGGACCATGGAATAAAGGGAAGATAACTCAGTAGTTTTAAAGTCTTCTTGGGCAAATGAGCCGTAGGTCAACTAGACACAAAAAAGGAGAATCTCTATTCATGACAATGAAGGGAAAAATATGGAGACCGAATGAACTCTAACATTGAACTCTAATGTTGATTCCTAAAGAAAACAAGTTTCACTCTTAACGCTCCACCCAAATTACCTGTGGAATCTTGAAGACATGTATACTTTCTGCCATATAGGATGTAGTATCAGACACAAGAGCTCCAATGATGGCCATGAGATTCTTCTGGTTATCACATTTGTAGTTAGGAAAAAATCCCTGAGATTTGAAAAGCAGGTCCAGAGTGGTGCGGTAGGTCATCCTTGGGTTGTAGTAACTGTCATAGATGTGGAACCCAAGTGTGACATTAAGTAAGATCTGGGAGTCTTCATTGATCTCCTTCACAGCAAAGGCCAAAGCGAGGACGTCCTGGTAGAATTTTGTTATTATTCTGTCAATAAGTTAAATCCCCCCATGGAAGAAATCATTTTAAAATTCTTACAATGTGACATCATTTTTAAATATATAACAAAGACTTCTATCTCTGATGGAAGTAGGAAGATGATAACTACAAAAATGCTAATTTGCTGTAATAATTTCTACAGTGTTCCCAATGTATTTCCATGAGTTGCAATAAATAAACAAAGACAATAATAACTTTGATTCCAAGCTACCATATTTGTTTTCTATCATCTTAGCACAAAACAGAAAAGGAAGATATGAAGCAAATATCAGTCATTTACTGTCTGCCCATTTTCAAAGGGATGATAATACAGTCCTTTTTTTGAAAAAAAAATTACCTTCAGCTCCTTAAATGTTCCACAAAATTTGAATATGGTTTTTTTGAATGACATTTAGGATACAAATGAAAAAAAAACATACATCTGATGAGAAAGACTTTTAAGTTAATACAAAAAAAAAAAAATACACAACAGTTGCCAAAAAAGCCAACACAGTTCTAAGCTGCATAAACAGAGGGATAGAATCAAGGTCATATGAAGTGCTAATACCACTTTATCATTCCTTGGTGAGGCCACACTTGGAATTCTGCATCCAGTTTTGGTCATCATGATGTAAAAAAGATGTTGAGACTCTAGAAAGAGTGCAGAGAAGAGCAACCAAAATGATGAAGGGACTGGAGGCCTAAACATATGAAGAACAGTTGCAGGAACTGGGCAGGTCTAATTTGATGAAAAGAAGGACTAGGGGAGACATGATAGCAATGTTCTATTATCTCAGGGGCTACCACAAAGAAGAGGAAGTCAAGCTATTCTCCAAAGCACCTGAGGGTAGGACAAGAAGCAATGGGTGGAAACTAATCAAGGAGAGAAGCGACTTAGAACTAAGGAGAAATTTCCAGACACTGAGAACAATTAATCAGTAGAACAACTTGCCTCCAGAAGTTGTGAATGCTCCAACACTGTAAATTTTTTAAAAAGATATTGGATAACCATTTGTCTGAAGTGGTGTAGGGTTTCCTGCCTAAGCAGGGGGTTGGAGTAGTAAACCTCCAAGGTCCATTCCAACTCTGTTATTCTATATTTCTTCTCTTACAACCATTCAAAAGAGAAAGAAGATACAAAAACTACATTCATGCTCAGTTTTTACTCATATTAGCACATTCACTGGATTTGGATAAATTTAGGGAACATGTGGGAGGGGGGAGTCCTTACATTGGAAACGGATAAGGATTTAGAGAAGGATGTTCTTTAAATTCAATTTCATAAAAGTTGTAAAAAATTTGAGACACCATCCCACCAATGACGAGGTCACCAAACTGGAACCACTCATGTGGAACAGGGAAAGCTTCACTTGCAGGGCATCTCAGCATAACGACTTTGTGCATCAAGAACATCAGAAGGAACAACATCTTCACATTATTTTTACGCGACAATGTCTCAGTCAATCATTCAAAGAGAAGTTCTGGCACATAAAGACAGGAGGGAGAGAATTTGTCTTCCTGCCTCTGTCTGGCTCTTGAAATACTTATATGGATTGTTTTTCGATTCCAATTCCTGTGTTTGCTACTTTTCCCTTTTAGAATAATATAGTAATTTCAGTAATTCACAAGAGACATAATTATCGTTGAAACATTGGCATCCTGGCAATTTTCCTTTGTACATTGGTTCAACAGCTTTCTCTCCTTTGGGTGACCTGACAAGGGATTGCTGCTTAATTTGTTTTGGGAATAGTTGAAAAAAGAGAATTGGTAAGATGTTTTCCAAGGCAAGAAATATTACATGATGTACTAGTTTCTTTTTATGAGTTGTTCCCTGTGATTTAAATCAGGCCTGGAAACAATGATGTAACGTTTAGCCAAAAATATGCATCCCAGTAATGCAGCACTGGAGGCCAAGATGGAGAAGACCTCCACAGCTACCATGGCTTTTCCTTTTGTGCTCAGATAGGCTGGAAAGAAGGAGACCCAAACACTGCAAAAGGCCAACATGCTGAAAGTGATGAACTTGGCTTCATTAAAGCTGTCAGGTAATTTATGGACAAGAAAAGCCACAATAAAGCTGGTGATGGCCATGCAGCCCAAGACACAGTAGAAAAAGAAATCTGACTCCTCATTGCATTGCAAAATAATTTCTTGGAGCTCTGAGTCCATGTCCAACTCAGGGAATGGGGAAAATGTTGAACCCCCCCCTCCCATGCGCTCCTCTTTCCCACCCTGTCTATGATCCTGGCATTTGCCCCAAATCCATCAGGCGCTTTCCCATTGCTCCACTGGATGGCGAACATCACAGTTGCCTTTCCAGAAGCTGCAAAGGAATTGACATCACAAACAATTGCCGCTCTCGGATGCCGCTCTCACTCTCCTTAACGGCCCAGGCATTTCACAGTTATGCTGGAACACACACACACACACACACACACAGTGTGTGTTTTTAACACATATTTGTTTCCATATAGTAAGTCATTTGTGTACCAAGTCTGGTTGAAATTGCTCAAGGCGTCCCAGAGTTATGATGGAGCATACATACATACATACAGCCTTTTTTATATAGCTAGATCAGTTTAGCTTAGCATAAAACAGAATATGAATAGATGTAGCAAATATCACTCATTTACTGTATGCATGTTTTATGAGGAGAGATAAAGCAGTCTTTTTCTGACAGTCAGAATGGAAGAAGCTCCTTGGATGAGAAGTGAATGTTTCTATTCATGATTAATGTCAGTATTGTTTTTAATTCATTGTATGTCTATTGCTGGTCGAGGACCGTAATAAAATTTTATTCATTCAACTGCTTAAAGAGCAATTTAGTTTTCAACCTTGAGTCCTTGATGCTCTCTGAAATAGGTTATTTGTTTGCAGACTTTTCGTTACCTATCTAGGTGATAACATCATTGAAAACCTTTGAAAACCATTCATTTTCCATGGTTTCCATAGGCACAGCATATGTCATGAATGACAAGAGTTTTGCACCATCTTATCAATGGTTTCAAATTTGTTGTTATGAGTAGATGTAGAAGAGGGGGAAGGAATACGACAATCTACAACACAGTCCTTTCAACAGTTCCAAGAAGGCTCCACATCCATTTGCATCACTCAGGTGACCCTGATGACACAGATAAACCTCCAGGTGACCTTAACGACCCGCTAAAAGAATGCAAATGACCAGTTTTCTGCAAGGAGTATAAATCCTTCCATTCCCCACCATCCAGTCAGAGCTGAAGAAGCTTCTTGGATGAGAAGTGAAACGTCTTCAAAGAAAACCAGAAAGTCCAGTTGCCTCTTGAAAAAAATCACCTTTGGGATGTCCATTATCTGCTCTGAACAATGTCTCAAGTTTCTTTTTCTATTTTCTTTACTAAAGGAAAATATAGGTAGTCCTTGACTTGCAACCATTTCTTTTTTGACCGTTCAAAATTACAACAACACTGAAAAAAAATGACCTACTACAACTGATCCCCGCATTTACAACCATGGCGGCATCCCCACAGTCATGTGATTGAACTTTAGTTGCTTGGCAACTGACATGTATTTGTAACAGTTGCAGAATCCCAGAGCATTCCATTTCACCAGTTGTGACTGTAGAAAGAATCACAAGACACCCCCTTCTCTTTGTTTCCATGCCCCTAGAGAAGGCAAAGAAAAACCAAGCATAGAAGGTAAAGCAATCCCTGCCTTCCAGCCAGAATGGCCTCAAGTAATCCCAATTAGAAGACTGAGACAGACGGAATTGACAGGATTAAGGATTATGTCAGACGACACAAAGCCACACAGAATTTGCATTCCCCACCTTTCCCCAAGGCTATCCTTGACCAGTGGTGAAATCCAATTTTTTTTACTCCCGGTTCTAGGGGCGTGTCTTGGTGGGTGTGGCAAGGGAAGGATACTGCAAAATCTCCATTCCCACCCCACTCTGGGTCCAGCCAGAGGTGTATTTGCCAGTTCTCCAAACTACTCAAAATTTCCGCTAACGGTTCTCTGAACTGCTCAAAATTTCCGCTACCGGTTCTCCAGAACCTGCTGGTTTTCACCCCTGACCTTGACCCTGATCACCATCCAGGAAACCAGACTTGCAAGTATTGAGTACAGTTCAATGTATTTGATATCATCGCCTACGCTTCCCTCCCTCTTTTTCAATATATATTTTGATATGGTCAAAAATTGATCTAAGAACCCCCTATTGTAAAAGGAATGTATTTATTGACTTCTTTGGAAAATGGTTGTAAATGCAATAGCACGAGAACTCCTTTTGGAATGGCAAACATAATAAATCTTAATAACAATAATAATCCTCCATAAATCTTCCTTTCACAGAAATTAAAACTATATGTTTACAGGAGATAGCAGACAGTCTTTCAATTGTCAGCAAATTTTCTTTTTTTAAAAAAAATTATAAACTTTATTAAAACACATATAAAACACATATAAAAAACATTTACAAAACATAAACATATAAGTAAATTTTCCTCTTAAAGCAATATTGCGTAGTGGTTCTTCAATTAATACAGTTGTAATTTTCCCCTTATTTTTAGCCTAGTAGTTTTTCCCTTTCCCTTTTCCTCCCCCTCCTTTTTCCCTTCCCCTTAGGATTCCTTAGCAATCTTTATATTTGGATTATACTTTTGTTTTGAAATTCCCCTATTCATGTTTACTTGTCCATAGGAAATTATTAGTATACCTATTTACATCTTTATTCTATTCTTCTTGCACCTATGTATCTTTATTAGTGGCGTTGTACCATAAGTACCATTTGTCCCATATTCTGTAGTACTCTGTCTCTTCTTTTTCCTTCATCTCTTTTGTTAGTCTATCCATTTCAGCACTCTGTGCGATTTTATCTGTTAACTCTTCTTCCGTTGGGATTTTTTCTTGTTTCCAATTCCTTGCGTACATTATTCGAGCTGCCGTTAGAATATGTATTATCAGGTATTTTATATCTTTAGGATATATTTTTGTGAAGATTCCTAGCAGGAAAGTTTCTGGTTTCATCTCTATTTGTAATTTTGTTATTTGTTCCAACCATTTCTTAATGTAAGACCAAAACTTCTTTGCTGCCGGGCACGTCCACCATAGATGGAAAAAGGTACCCTGTGATTTTTTGCATTTCCAGCATAATGAACTGTTCTTTGAATGAATTTTTGCCAATCTTGTGGGTGACATATGCCACCTATAAAACATCTTCAGCTGGTTCTCCTTGTATGCCACCGCTAATGTTAATTTTGTATTCATTTGCCATAATTCCTTCCACTTCTCCAAATCTATTGTATATTTAAAATTTTGCATCCATTTAATCATCATATCCTTTACTGTTTCCTCCTCCATCTTATATCGCAATAGAACATTATAGATTTTACTAATTAATTTCTCTTGTGAGTCTAATATAATTTTGTCTAGTTCTTGTTTCTCTCTGTAGATTTCATATGTTTTCATATGTTCCTTGTATTTGGATTGGATCTGTGTAAAAGTCCACCAGTCGACTTCTCTATTTAGCTCTATTTCTAATTGTTGTTTGGTTTTCAGCTTCCCTTGATAGTCAATTAAGTCTTTGTATCTAATTATATTTTTGGGTTCTGTTAAGTTTGGGTGTCTTACCGCTTCTAATGGTGATAGCCAATTCGGAATTTTTGTGTAGTGTTGTTTTTGAATTTTTAGCCAAATTAGTAGTAGTGTATTCCTGATTGTGTGTCTTTTAAAATAGGTATAAGTTTTCTATCTTTCATCCCATAAAAAGGATTGCCAGCCCATTTGCAGTTCGTGGCCTTCAATTGTTAATATCCCAATTGTCAGCAAATTTTCATAGTGAGAAAACTCACATGATGTACTAAGTCCTCTTTATTAGTTGCTCTCTCTGGTTTAGCTCAGGCTTAAAAACAATGATGTAGCATTTTGGCAAAAATATGCATCCCAGTAATGCAGCGCTGGAGGCCAAGATGGAGAAGACCTCCACAGCTACCATAGCTTTTCCTTTTGTGCTCAGATAGGCTGGAAAGAAGGAGATCCACACACTGCAGAAGGCCAACATGCTGAAGGTGATGAACTTGGCTTCATTAAAGCTGTCGGGTAATTTACGGGCAAGAAAAGCCACAATAAAGCTGGCAATGGCCAAGATACCCATGTAGCCCAAGACACAGTAGAAAAAGAAAGCTGACCCCTCATTGCACTGTAAAATCATTTCTTGGACCTCTGAGTGCATGTCCAATTCAGGGAATGGAGGGAATGAGAACAACCAAATACTACAAATCCATCCTTGAATGATGGAGCATGAAAGGACAATAGAAAAAGCCAATCTTCTCCCCACCCATTTCCTCATCTGAGATCCTGGTTTAGTGGCCATGAAAGCCACAACCACAGTGATGGTTTTGGCCAGGACACTAGAAATGGCCACTGAGAAAGTGAGGCCAAAAGCTGATTGTCGGAGAAGGCAGGTCACTTTGCCAGGCTGGCTGAGGAAGAGCAAGGAGGAGAGAAAACAGAGCAGAAGAGAGACAAGGAGGGTATAGGTGAGGGACCGATTGTTGGCTTTGACAATGGGAGTATCCTGGTGCTTAATAAAAGTTCCAACTACCCAAGAGGTCAAGAAGAAGAAAGAAAGAGCAGCTGAGGCTAAACCAGTTCCTAAGGTTCCTTCAAATGATAGAAAGACCACCGGTTTCAGGATACATTCTTTCTGTTCTTTATCCGGGTAGTGGTCTTTTGAACATTCAAAACAGTCGTCCATATCTGGAACAAAAAGTCAAGACATTTGTCATCTCTCCATTGAATATTGTTGAAAATTCTTTTCCTAGTGGATGCTCACTGCTATTCCTTATCAGTTCTTTCCACCGGTTCCTAGTCTGATCGTGATTCTGTGAAAATGCAGGTTTTCCTCTATTTAGGATTCACATGTAATAAAGTATATGTGAGGGAAAAGGCAATTATTCTTTCAAATCAATACTGAAAAAAGTATGTTGGGTCCAACAAGCAAAAATAATCTCCTATGCTTGCTTTCAAGATAATGAAGGTATATTAATCCTTTTCTTTGTTATAGAAATAGAATGACAGAGTTGGAAGGGACCTTGGAGGTCTTCTAGTCCAACCCCCTGCTTAGGCAGGAAACCCTACACCACTTCAGACTAATGGTTATCCAACATCTTCTTAAAAACCTGGGTGTGTTGCAGCATTCACAACTTCTGGAGGCAAATTGTTCCTTAGCCACAAGGTTGTTTGTTGAGTTTTACACTATCATTTTTTAATACTGTCATGGTTTATTTGAACTTTAACTAGAAGTGTAAATTTAACTTGAATCTCCTTATTAACATCACTTTTTTTAAAAAAAGAAGAGATTGGTGGTCTTCAAATTATACTTTAATCTAGGCTAAAAAGAAAATAAGATAATAAAAAATTGAGTTAAATCATCGCTTAATTGACTCAAATGATATATTCATTTAGGGTTTTCTGGTAAGAAAAAAGTACTTTGTGCTTTTCTTTTCCCAACAGACTTTTTCTTTAATTCCTAAATATTTATATATTTAATTCCTAAATATTTATTGCTTCACAGAACTTACAGTGATTAGGTTAACATCACAATTTATGAAGATGACATCTTCAAGATAGAAGACAACAAGAAGCGTTTTATTTTTTTTATTTTTTTTAAAAAAAGCATAATATATCCCGAGTTTATAAAAATCATGATAGATTTGAATGATCTTATGGGGGACGGGGTGTCCTTGGTGCTCTCTGAGCTTGCTTTTTTTCTTGCAAACATTTCATCACCCAAACTAGGTAACATAGTCAGGGCTCGTCCTACTGATGTTACCTAGTTGGGTAATGAAAGATCTGCAAGAAAACAAGCAAGCTCAGAGAGCACCAAGGACCCCCATCCCAAGTCAACCCTGAGCTACAAATATATAAACCCTCATAAAATAAACCCTCAATAGGCAAATGAAGTTGAAACTATGAGAAATAAATAAATGGATAATAGATGGTGTGATCATAGAAGATCTATGGCTCAATGGAGATATATATTTTGGGCCCATATTAGGAAACTCTACCTGCCAAAATCTCTGAATAAGAGACTGTAGTCTACAGTATAGAAAGGAACATTCACCCCGAAGAACTCATAAAACTACTAATTCTACATATCCTAAAGTAATTAATTACTGTACTTTTCGAAGTATAAAATGCACTTCCCCCCCCCCCAAAGTGGGTGAAAATTTGGGTGCATCTTATACACTGAATATAGCCTCCCCACCCGCCAGCCCCCACCCTTTGTTCGTTTTCAGCCTCCGTGTGGTGCATTTTTGGCCTCCGCGTGCTGTTTTGGACCTGTTCCAGGCTGCAGGGATCACCACAGCACATCGCTGCTTCCGTGCCTCATGTTTTCAGCCTCCGTGTGGTGCATTTTTGGCCTCCGCGTGCTGTTTTGGACCTGTTCCAGGCTGCAGAGATCACCACAGCACATCGCAGCCAATCGCTGCCTTCACACATCGCATTTTTAGCCTCCACGCGTCATGTTTTTGGCCTCTGCATGCCCCATTTTTTGCCTCCGCGCATTGTGTTTTCGGCTGTTTGCTATTTGCTGCAAGGATGCAAGCCAGATGAATACCAATGGATGTTGGTAGGCAGAGGCAGAATTTTTTTCCATTGTTTTCTTCCCCAAAAACTAATGTGTGTATTATGCTCTGGACCATCGTATACTCCGAAAAATACGGTACATTTTGCTTAACTCAATCTAATGAAAACTTGAGGGATTGTCTCACCTACCCTTTTGATTTGAAATCTTTCCTTCTGGGCATGAAACACAGTCATAGCAGCAGAATTGTTTTCCTTCTATCCTTTTCTTCCAGTATCCAGGGGAGCAATGGTCATTACACAGAGAAATTGGAAGTACCTGGTCATAAAAATGAAAGGTTTTTCAAACAAAGATTTTTTTTAAAAAAAAACCAGATTCGAATTATTCTCTTTTATGGCAGGAAAGAATTTTAATGGCCTGTTTGGAGAATGGCAGGATGAGGAAATAAATGTGCACCATGACAATCTTATGGAAACAGCATGACTTCTGTGATTTCAAATCGAAATGTAGCTCGGATACGAAAATCTGGCTTTTACATTGTAATGTCATTTTGTCAGTTTGGTAAATGCTTGAACATGGTCAGCATTTATATAGAATATATCTGGGTTTTTTTTGGTTTTTTTTTTCATTTAAAAATAAGACTGAAAGAAAAGATGTATAAAGAGACTACGTGTCAGGGTTCCAAGTAACAGCCCCAACAAAAGAAAACTCTGAGGCTTGAGTTTCCTCAAAGTTACATTTTATTAGAGATGTCATACTGGCAAATCTGGGAAAACCCGAATTTGAAAGCTTCCAGGTTTTCCCCACCCAACGGAAAGTTCAAGTCCCTGCCCAACACCCACAAGTCCATCACATGATCCAATCAAACCACCATCCCAAGTGGAGATGCCTCCCAGTTCCATCCCTCCAGGTGCAGGACAGGTTGTCCTTGACTTCCTGAGAAAGGAATGTTATTATGATTATATATCACCCATGCTCCATACATTCCCCCCTCCCAGTTTCCCACAGCAGTAAATGTGGCAGGTCTGAAGGCCTAATACAAAAGATGGCGTCCAGGCCTGTCACTATGTTCAATACAGATGAAGAGACCTTTGTGGTATCATAATGGATCACAATAAATGGCCATTAAACGTGTCCACACCTGGTTAAAAGCTGGGTGCCAGATAATCTCATCTCCACTGATAAACAATTCTTTCCCTTTTGGAGCACTGGGATCTAAGACTCCAACGGTAACTTTCTGAAAGGACCTGTTTGGAAAAGTGATCAAGTTGGTGATGTCGAATCCACCTGCTGCTTCCCTTTTCTCATTCAGGCACACTCTCTCCCCAGCTGAATTGTTAAATGAAATGCCTTGAAGAAATGGATGGAGCTACTTGAAAGAGAATAGAAGAGAGAGGGAATTGAAAGGATAATAATGGAGAACAAGCCATCGTGTTCACATTTCTTTCAGTCATTCTTCCCCTTTCTGTAATAACGCTCAAATAAGTACATTGATAAAATTGATATTCTGTATTGCATGGAATGTATAGATTTACTCTATTATTAATCTGAGGAAAAATAGAAAATAGTGTCCATCAATACAAGCAAAATGAAAACAGGCTATTTTGTATTAATCAATCAATTAATCAAACCTTCACCCTACATAATCTTATCCACCACTTTTCTTTCTTACAAAGCTATTTGAGAGCCTGGGATCTGACAAATTTCATTAAGACAGATTTTAGAATTTGAGATTTAAGTGAGGAGAGAGAAAGAGAGAAAGGGAGAGGAGAGAAGAGGAGAGGAGAGGGAACACATTCATATTCTCAACACTGAAAACATTTATGAGCCATATAAAAGTATCTTGGACAATTTTTTATTTATGGAAAAGAGATTGAAAAATAATGGTAAATGATTGTATGAAGCAGTGCTTCCTTTGATCATCTTTTATGATGCAAATTATGATGATTTTCTACATAAATCACACTTATACCAAACATCTGGCAATCTGCAGATGTGGAACGTCAGGTGTTTCTTTATGATAATTGTTTTTTTTTTTAATGATACAAAAATTCCATTGACTAGACTGAAAGACTATTTTTTTTCAACGCTTTTGTTCTATAATATAGAATCAGCTTTTACATTAATAACTTTGTTTCCTCGGTATCTGTCTTGATCTGTGGCCATGGCAAATAAGCTATATTAGATTATGATAAGAAAGGCTATTCACTGGGAAAGAAAAGGTAGGTGTGGCATAGAGACATTACCTGCCATGGCTGCAGATTTGAAAATGCAAACATTTTAATTCTTCTGTGTTGGGCTCTTGATCTCACAGCCTCATGCAGAGAATGTGCCACTGCATAAACAGCATTGTAGATGCTGTAGCTTTGGCCAGTCATCTTCAACTCAAACAGAGGAGAAGGCAGATTTTCCAAATTCTCTTCTCCACTACATGTTTGATTGGATATTAGGGGTGATTCTTCATTTGAAAGTGAGCAGTCAAACAATTGCTCCCAAACGTCTTGAAGAAATCCATCTTTGTGGGTTGAAGGTTTGATGACTTGAAGAAATTCTTTGAAGCCTTGAACTTCTCTTGAATGAACAGTAAAGGAAAGAGACCCATGGTACAACTGGACATCCCAAGCCCTATGAAATCCTGTCAGTATGAAATCAATTGGGAACATCAGGATCCAAACCTTTCTAAATGACGCAATCTCTTTATTGTCATAATCACGTAGAAACACAATAGTTCTGAGCCACAGAATCGTGAAGGATTCGCCATAGACAAGAAAAACATTGGCTTTCTGATCCAACAGTTTCTTAGAAATAATGGTGATTAGAGCAAAGAGTGCTGAAAGTTTTTGAAATGGGGCTTGTTGTGGAATCTTTTGTGTGAAGGTTAAACAGATCCCATTCTGGAAAAGCAACGGATGCATTTTCTGCAGGAACTGTTCTCCCGTGTTTTTATCAAATGTAAAGACTCCAATCCATGTCCATCCAAAATGGAGAAGAAGCTTGATAATTCCAATGTACTGATGGTCCTCTTTTGGCACCATGCAATAAAGTGAAGATAATTTAGTAGCCTGGAACTCTTCTTGGGCAAAAGAACCATAAGTCAACTGAACAAATAAAAGGCAGTCATTATTCATAAGAAGGAAAAAATATGGGAACTGAATGAACTCTAATGCTCGAACTCTCCGAGACCTCCTTCTACCGCATAACTCCCAGCGACTGGTAAAATCTCAGAGAGGTGGTCTCCTCCGGGTCCCATCAGCTAAACAATTCCGGCTGGCGGGCCCACAGGGAGGCCTTCTCTGTGACTGCCCCAGCTCTCTGGAACCAGTTACCTCCTGAGGTCCAGATCATCCCCACCCTACTGGCCTTCCGAAAAGCAGTGAAGACCTGGCTTTTCCAGCAGGCCTGGGGCCGTTGATCTCGCTCTTGCGATCCGGCAAGATCTGGCCATGAATGGTGTGAATGAGTTTTAATGTTTTTAATGTTTTAAATTTTTAAATGTTTTTTATAATGATTTTAAATGCATTGTGAGCCGCCGCCCTGAGTCTTCATAGAGGGGTAGTATACAAATTGAATTAATAAATAAATAATAAATAAATAAATAAATAATGGGTCCTGTCTCCTGTCTGTGCACTGGGTTGAACTACATGACAGTAACAGAGTTGGAAGGGATCTTGTAGGTCATCTAGTCCAATCCCCACTCACCCACCCATGAAGAAGACCCTACATGGCAGTCCAATCTCTTCTTGAAAGCCTCCAGTGATGAAGCTCCCACAAGTGTCAGAAAATTTATCCTTATTTCCAGGTTGAATCTCTTTTTGTTCAGTTTCCATCCATTATTCCTTGTCTGGCCTTCAGGTACTTTGGAAAATAGCCTCACTCTTTCCTCTCTGTAGCAGTCCCTCAAATATTGGAAGACTACTATCATGTCTCTCCTGGTCTTTCTCTTCACTAGACTAGCCTTGCCCACTCCTGCAACCATTCTTCATGATCCCTTCCCACTCTGTTATTCTGTTATTCCCTGTTATTCCCTTATTTTGTGATTCACCCATCTCCTCCCACTTCTGACTGTATGACTCTAACCTTGTTGCTGGTATCCTTAAGATTTATATTGACTGTTTCCTAATATGATTTGATTGCCTATTTGTTCCCTATGACTTTCATTAAGTGTTGTACCTTATGATTCTTGACAAATGTATCTTTTCTTTTATGTACTCCGAGAGCGTATGCACCAAGACAAATTCCTTGTGTGTCCAATCACACTTGGCCAATGAAGAATTCTATTTTATTCTAATTCTCTATTCCATTCCATTCCATTCCATTCCATTCCATTCTATTCTATTTTATTCTATCTGCTAATGTTCATTACAAAAGAAGATAATTTTCTCTCTTACTGCTCTCCCAAAAGTTACCTGTGGAATCTTGAAGAGATTTACACTTTCTGCCATAAAGGAAGAAGTAGGGGCATCTAACCCTCCAATGATGGCCATGAGATTCTTCTGGTTATCACATTTGTAGTTAGGAACAAATTCCTGGGATCTGAAAAGGAGGTCCAGAGTGGTGCGGTAAGTCATCCTTGGGTTGTAGTAACTGTCACAGATGTGGAACCCAAGAGTGATGTTAGGTAAGATCTGGGAGTCTTCATTGATCTCCTTCACAGCAAAGGCCACGGCAAGGACGTGTTGATAGAATTTAGTTATTACACTGCCAAGAGTTAAATCCCCCCAATTGAAGAAAGTCATTTTAAGATTCTTATAATTTGGCATCATTTCTAACTATGTAACAAAGGTTTCTATCTCTGATGCAAGTAGGAAGGTGATAAGTACACTGTATTAATGTATTGTAATAATTTGTACAGAGTGCCATCACTCTGCTAAACAAATAATTCCCTCAACACTGTCAAACTAGTTACTAAGTCTGTATTACTATTAATCTTTTCATCCTTCCTGTCACCCATCTCCTCCCACCTATGACTGTAATCTTGTTGCTGGTATCCTTAAGATTTATATTGACGGTTTCCTAATATAATTTGATTGCTTATTTGTTCCCTATGACTATCATTAAGTGCTGTACCTTATGATTCTTGACAAATGTATCTTTTCTTTTATGTACACCGAGAGCGTATGCACCAAGACAAATTCCTTGTGTATCCAATCACACTTGGCCAATAAAGAATTCTATTCTGTTCTGTTCTGTTCTGTTCTGTTCTGTTCTATTCTATTCTATTCTATTCTATTCTATTCTATTCTATTCTATTCTATTCTATTCTATTCTATTGTAATAATTTGTTTTTGAGTGTTTCCATGGTTTGAAATAAATATGCGTGACAGCAAACAAATTATGTTTTCTAAGCTACATTTATTTTCTATCAGTTTAGCATGAAATGAAATATAAAAAGATCTTGTTTTAAAAGAAATAACTTCAGCTCATTAAATGTTCTTCAAAAAAACCTCAATAAGCCTTTTGGAGATTTAATTTAGGAATCAATAAGACTTTAAGACTCTAATGTATTTTCATGAGAAAAATTTTAACTTAATGTAAAGAAGGTATTTCTTCACTCACAACCCAATGTAATACAAAGACAAAGAAGGCTTAGATTAGATCCAAAATGTACAGTAGTGGTCAAAATTGTGGAAACATTTTGAGAAAAGTGTATTTTCTAAAATTAGCTAATAACACCACTTTTTTTGGGAAGTAGTACCATAAAATTATATATCAATGGAAAGATAATTTAATCAAGAATGTAATGCAATAACTTTTATGAAGGATTTACTATTAGAATAGAGGTTACAGTATAAAGAAGAAAAGGGAAACCCGTAGAAAAAATGAAATATACAAAAATGATCACCATAGAAAAAAAATGAGAGATACAAAAATGATCACCATGTCAGTTAATACTTAGTTGGGTAACCTTTAGCATGAATTATAGCCTTACAATGTCTTCCCATGGAGTGAACCAAATCTTTTAGTTCTGCAGATGTTATAATGTGAAACCAAGATTGAATGATTGCTTCTGTTAACTGGGTTTTATTGCTGGGTTGCTTCTGACTTACAAGTTTCTTTAGTCGGCTCCATAGATTTTCAATTGGGTTAAGGTCTGGGCTATTTCCAGGCCATTCCAGCAGTGGAATAGGATTATCTTGAAACTAAAAAAAAAAAAAAAAAGTGGTGTTATGAGCCATCAAACCTCAAAAATACACTTTTCCCAAAAGGTTTCCACAATTTTGGCCACTACTGTGCATTATGTTGAAACTCATATAACAAATATTTAAGGAGCTGGCTAAGATTGGAGAACACCCCTGAAGAAAAATATATTCTTACAGTGGTAACTGATAAGGTTTTAGGGATGGATGTTCCTTAAATTCAATTTCAAGAAAGTTATAAAATATTTGAGACACCATCCCACCGATGATGAGATCACCAGGCTGGAACCACTCATGTGGAACAGGGAAAGCATCACTTGCAGGGCATCTTAGAGTAGCTACTCTGTGCATGGAGAACATCAAAAGGAACAACAGCTTCATTCTATTGTTACATTTGGATCTATCCGTCAAATAGAAGTCAAATAGAAGAAGGAAGAGAATCTGTGGAAATGAACTTCATAGAGCAAAGCCCTTTGGGCCCCCATGTGACTCTAGAAGTACTTATACCACTTGTTTCTCAATTCCTATTCCCTTCTGCAGAGAACCTTTGATGTTTTGGACTACATGGAAAATAGACTGATTTCAGTTATTTATAAGGGATATAATTACCTGTTAAACATTGGCAAGCTGGCAATTTTTCTTTGCATAGCTGATCAACATCTTTCTCTCTTTTGGGTGACCGACAGTTAACCTGTTTGGAAAATACTTGGAGAAGTAGAATTGGGAAGGTATTTTTCACTTTTCTATAGTTTTTCAAACTTATTCAAAATAATATTTACAGGTAATCCTCAAATTACATCAACAACAGCTAAAATCCTACCAGTGACTTTAAAAGTTTTTCTTAAAGCAACGTTTCGACAGGCTGAAGATGACAGGGTGTGAGCCTGTCAAAACGTTGCTTTAAGAAAAACTTTTAAAGTCACTGGTAGGATTTTAGCTGAGGTTTTAAAGGACCTTGCAGAGTGCTCTGTAGGGAATTTTAGAAGATTTTAAACTGGGATTTTAACTAGGATTTTAAATATTTTAACCAACTTATTTATAATGACGCGGGAAAACACCCGAGATTTTAATTTTTTGCATTATATATATATATATATATATATATATATATATATGTATGTATGTATGTATGTATGTATGTATGTATATGTATATGTATATGTATATGTATATGTATATGTATATGTATATGTATATGTATATGTATATGTATATGTATGGGTATGGGTATGGGTATGGGTATGGGTATGGGTATGGGTGTGTTTT